GATTATTTTTTTGTTAAAATAATTAAGGATCCCTGTCCCACTGTACTGTGGTTTTCCCTACATGCATTAATCTCACCCTAACTTCCGTTTGAATGTAACTGTAGAACAATATTTCTAGATTACTTCCCCCAACAAAACATCTAATTCAGTTTGAGCGATAGTTTTGCAGTCTGAAGTTAAGCGTTCGAATCTGGGTCTAGCCTCACGGAATCTTTTTTAACCTTAGAACACTGTCATTAAATAAATTTTGTCTATATCAATTAATTGAAAAAAAACATCATCATAGATTCTTTATAGAAGTCCCTCAAGGTATGTTTTTTATTTTCAAAACTATAGTCATGCCGAGAAAAAAACAGTTTCCAATACTTGGTTACATTTTTTGGCAGTGGTACCGGGATCCTTAAATACCGTAACCTGTATATCGTACATTTTGCTTTAATTTCATCCAGAATGAAATGCATACTTTTGTTTTAACTTGCAGCATATTATTTATCACCATACCAACAACGCTGGCCAAGGAAAAGAAAATGATACAGTATGTATTTCGATGATCTTGCACATCAGCGGAAACCAAGCAACGATGTATCCAGGTATGCTCTGCAGACACACACCATTCAACAAGTCATGGACAAGCAAAAATTACAATGATCAGCCTGTCAAGATGTACACCAGGCAACAAATTCCCATGTTAGGACAAATAGGCACAATTCACTTAAATGTTACAACAGTAGGACAATATATACAGATATAGTCGTAAGCCGTCAGCATTAACGCTGGTACATGGTACATTAAAAAAGTAACAACACAAAATATGATACATTCATATATGAACCTCTACATATTACAGGCTACAGCTTGATCTTTCCCATTAATAAATTTGATAGCACTCGACGATAACGGAGAAGTTAAGTCGTTCGACGTACGTGGCTTAACACCACCATTCTATCAATCTGAAAATTGAATTTGCTCCAAAATACTGTTCCGTCAACAATGTGTTTGTCAATTGCGCATCATATCATATTATGTCAAATGGCAACTCAGATTGGCTATCTATCACCTTTGACCATTCGGTTTTCGTCGTTAAAGGTATGGATCAATAGCTCTTGCTGTACACAATATTGAAATGTACTCTGTGAATATTGGTATAGCTCGTTATACCATTGCCGATAGTATCTTTAATAAATTGTCTTTTCTTGAGAAAATAAAATGCCAGACATACTGTTCCATTACAACGAAACGGATACTGACCAGGTAATGACGCACGTGATCAATATGAATTGTATAATTATTAATAAAGATATTTTTTTTCTATGTGTAAACAAGTTTACCATTCTGCTATCTTTTGCTATTTGAACGACAATGAAGGGTCAAATGACGTCACTAAACTGTTAATTGGTAAAAGAGAACCCAGTATATACAGAATTTTAGATAGATTGTGTATAAAACCCACAGTTGGTCGGTGCCACAGACACATGACCAAATAAATAAATGCCAATATATAATTTAACAAGAGTGAAATTGGGAAACACTGTTGAAAATATGGATTATGATCGGGATTTTCTGTCGACCATTAACATTTAACAATTTCAAAAGTCAAATAACATTCTCCCTGAATTTTGGAGGATCAAAACACATGTCCTTCCAAACTCAAAATGTCAAATCTCAATTCATAAATGCTCTAAAGGGTCAACTGAAAACCCCGATTATAAATAACAACCTCAACATAATGCCCATCCGGTGGACATAAGTATATTTCATGCTATATACAGTAATCCACTACTAAGGTGCTACCATCATAAAACCTCATAATACATAACACAAACCAACCTAGTCAGGCCTCAATCCTCAGTTATACTTGTTGTCTGTACAAATTGTCGCATTACTCCCACACTATTTAGGACTATTGAACTCATATGTACACAAACACACACAAATCGTAACTTAATCTTTTCTTTTACGTTTATATCAATCCGAAAACCACTTTTTCAAATAAAAACAAAATTCTTAGGACAACGGAGAAGAATTTTGGATTTGGTTAATTTGTTCAAAATCTGTGAGGACACTTTTCCCCTTAAAACCCTTCAAATGTTTTGCTTACATTCCAACATTATAAAGGCAAAATAAGTGCACCTTGCAATTGCGACATTATCTGTTGTCAACAAATGTATTTAACATTTACTGCATCGATATATGTGTCTTGCTTTGAAATATATTTATCCATAAGAAATGTCAAAATCTCATGTAAAGCAAGCTGCATAATAAATTGGTGAAAATAACATGTCCGTGAATATACTTCACCTTACACTGCAGTATTCCATTTCATTTGACAGGTGATGAGCAGCAAATATATGTACAGAACAAACATAAAGGCATGAATTTTCATTTATTCTCTTCTATATAACTTTAAAATGTGCCTTGTAAACTTTCAAAATAGCACACCATAATACAAGATTCTAACTACGTCATATATAAAATGGCACGTTTTCCTAACATTCATTATAGAAACTGACGTTTCTACATTTTGAAAAAAAAAAGTGTATATGAAGAATTAGCTCTCAGATAAATAAAAAAAAAACACACAATGTAAAAAATCGAGACTGAAAGGACAAACATTAAAACAAACATGATGGAATCTCAAAACAGACTGTACCACTAATGTCGTATTAAAAGGGGGAGGCAGGGGGGACACTTGTAGACTTTTTTGCGCCACAGCTGTTAATTTGCATAGCTGTGATATCGATGAACAAGCCTCTTTTTGGCAATAAAACTAAAATGTTTTCTTTGGATTATTAAACTTAGATTGCACACGTTGTATAAATGGGAAAGCACTGATATTTGTGATTTTCTTTTTTATGTTTTAACTCCAACACCTATGCATGAAGACTCATTTGAACTCTTCCAATTCAAAGATTGGAATAGTTCACTATGAAATTTCAGGGGTGAATGAGATAATGCTTGACACTGTTAACTACATATATTCTTCTTTCTCCTAAAAACTGCACTATTTACTACTTCAATGAATTGTCCCTTTTTTCACCTTTTTCATATTCACAATAAGGCAAAATAACATATCTGAAATATGAAATTTTGATGTTCTGGAATTTTTGAAATACATGTACTTGCAAACATGTCGTTATTATTGTATATGAATACTGTATTACAAATATTGTATATAAATAATGTATTATTAGAACTTTTTACCTTTACCAGGTAATGTAAATAGTACAACAACACTTTTGTATTTATACTAATATACATTACAACATCAAACCTTTGAACTAACATATCATTTTTCATGGTTACTGGGGAACTTGCGAGTTGAAAACAAAATCCAAAATGCCTGATGTAAGTCTACCTGTAAGCACAAAACAATAACACATAGGCCTCTTTCGCGTATCGGTTCAACCAGTTGAAACGGTTGAACCTAGAGAGAAAACGCAGATCTGAACCGAGGCTGTCCTCAGGAATATTTTCGGCACGTGTAGATTGAGGGGTTCAGACATGCCTAAAGGGGATCGAAACTAAAATGCTGACTATTGCTAGCTTGCGTTATTTCTTTATAGTACAATGTCAATCATATAGTTATGTCCAAGTGCGTTCGTTTATTGTGGAATAGTTCTGCGCCAACTGAATCGTTTCAACCAGGATACCCGAATGTTACCCCGATGAATTAGAACGATATAATGTTGACCAGGGTATCAAATACATTGAGAGTAACATCACACAAAATCCAATGTACATGCATGTGAATTTTGCATAATGTGATTTCGAAATAAATTTAATTTGTTGTTCTATATAAATGCACATAATAAATGTTCTCTTTTCATATCCCTCTTATGAATATTTCATTAAAAAAATGAAGCAATGTGACATCGTTTCCTGACCAACAAAACTCGTATCTTATGACCGTATCAACAACAAAGACAGGAAACACTCTACTACTTAGTATTCGGTAAAAACAAAACAACAACAAATATAATCGTGATCAGATGCCAAATTGCCAACTAACATAACACCAATACTTTAAAGTCCTTTGTTCTTGAGTCTTAATAAAAAAAAAGCACTTTTAACTGTCCTTAATGAATTTCAAAGCCCTTTAACACATCAAAAATTCAGTTTCAGGACCTTACATTCTGCGTTTCCAAACTTACATGATTCGAATGAAAACATTTCATGCATATTTGAAAAATAAATAATAAAAGATTGATCATTACAAATCATTAACACTTTTTCTTGTCTTTAGTTGAACTATTAACGCTTCATCTCAACACCAGCTTCACTGTAATACCAGGAACACATAAAACTTTTTTTTTTAATATTTCAACTGATGTTTTTATCGAGAATGGGGACTTATGTATGAATTACATCCATTTTATTTTTTTCAAATACATTTAATCTCACTTATTTGTTCTTGTATATTTCAATTTAAAAAAAAAAAAAAAACATGATTTTAAAGTGATTATAATGTTACCACAGTTTCTTGAATAAGTTCAATCTCATTAGTCAGTTCATGGAAACTAAATTATGCATTTTAATAAAGAAACGAAACATCGAGAAAATATCCCTATGTATAGAAGTCACCCTATCAATTTCATAGGATTTACATAAACAATACTTAAATGTAAAAGGGAAACAATTTATAAAATATTGAGAGAAGGCGAGAAGCTCTATTTATTTAATAAATCTTTAAAGGAATTTATTTAAAGGACTCTTTCACGAGTCCCGCTGCTGAATACATCATGTGCAATACTGTTGCTGACACTGTGCCAGCCCTGCATGAACAGGCGTGCACACCTACACACTCAGTGTCATTTTATACATGAATCTGTGGCTGACAACCAGTGTTAACAGTAACACAAAGAGTGAGTTTCCTGGTGCATTCATGATCACCGATTCTAGCTCTTTCACCCCTACGTAACTTTAGTAAACTCTTCCATGCATTGATCTGGACGAGTCCATTATGGTCTACAGTGGTGAAAGGGTCAAGAAAGGACATGCTTTTTTTTTCTTAAGTATCCCTGTCCTACTGCACTACTGTTTTCTGTATATATACAGTAATCTCCCCTTAATTTCATTTAGGAAATAACTTAAGCACAGTTGTGCCAGGACATTTCCATTTCTGTTAGAGTGATAGAACAACAATCTGAAGTCCCGGGTTCGAATCCCAGTCTAGCCCAGTCTAGTTTAACTCTCAGAACCCTGTTGTTGATTATATTTTATTTTATCGATTATTTCCTCTCAGAACCCTGTTGTTGATTATATTTTATTTTATCTTGTTTTTTCCCCCATAAAAGTACCACAAAAAATTATTCCAGATTTTATAAAAGGGTATGAAAATACATTTTCAGCAAGAAATAGCTGGCAGGTTATTTTTCTTGCTATATGTATAACCTCATATCAGAATATGTTGAGTCGTTGATGAAGGAATGATGTAATTCACTAAGCAGTAGTTTTCATTGACCTTAAACTGTCATATTGAAGTTTTCAGACATTCAATATCGGCAATATACTTTCTCTTAAATGTAATGCTCTATGTAGAATCTGCGATCTTGAACACACTCCAGGTCTAGGGCCACTTCCTATTAAACAATCAAATTGGCTAGACTATAATGGAATGATTAAGATAAACAGACCAGCTGGCCTACTCAACCTCTCTTATAGGGTTTCTAGGCCAGAACAGGTCTTCTTAATAAATTTTATCCCTGAAATTTTGAGTTAACCTCTAAATTTTTTATACTTTCTGATTTGAAGACTTCGACTGGATATTCTTCACTTCAAGGTCCCTGAAATGTTAATAGAAAGGACCCTAGTTCTACTCCTTGCCTTTGCCACTTTACACCACACAGACAAGTCGATGGAATTTGCAGTGCCGACACTGATGCCTTGCTGCTGCTGCTGTTTACGTATGACAGCTTCACTTAATATTTTTGATTGACAACTTGGTTCTCATAACTTCTCAATTCTAAGCTTAACATTTTTTTTTTCTCTTATCTGGACTGAATTTTTCAGTGAGTGAATATTAAATTATTATCACATTCAGCTTTTATTACCAGAGAGGAAAGTCCTTCCTGTCCCCAGTGTCTTCCTCTATTTTCGCTTGTCTCCCTTTGCTCGCTTTGTTACTCGCCCACACGTAATACCTACTAAAAATATCATACCTAGCACTACTATCATTATACTTAAGATATAATTTTTAGCAGGAGATATACTGATTTGTTCGTAAATTTCTCCAAAGCCTTCCGGAGGAGCAACCTGAAATTAACAAAGGAATTAAGTGTCAGTCAAAACTCATAATTTGATTTACACCTAAATCCACTGTATCTGAATATTTTGCATAGCTCAGTGATCAATCTACAATTTGTTTTCACGGGTCCTTTTCAACTGCATTGTTGTCTAAAACAATTGGTCCCACAATGTTAAATTTCAGTATTTCCAGAAATTCTACAAGGCCCATCAAAATTCTGTAAGTATAGGACTCACGGCTCGTATATAGATTTATCACTGATAGCTGAATATTTGCTAGCTGGACTGGAATACTCAGATAACACAGAGCTTCAAACTGTCTGGATCATCACATAACATTCTACAATGTCCTTGTACTGCTACTTCTACTTTTAGGGCAACGGGGCTATATTAAAATATCAATCATTTTTCAAAACTACTTTAAATTGTTAATAGAAATATTAAACTGCAATTTCATGGGGCAAAATGTGATATACAAAACAGCATCATTGTACTTGTGTCGGGTGAATGAAAAGGTTCAGCTGCTTTTTGAAAGACTGTGCGAGCCCTGTGTTGGAATCTCAATGGAGATTTAACAAGTAGGAATGCCTCAGTACAGAGGTCTTGGGTAAGCAGGGAAAATGACACCTTCCTTAATTTAATTATCTAAATCCATTTTTCTAATGAATGTTAATTTAAAAGATGCAGAATGCAGGTTCTAACCCAAATAATTTTGCTAAATGATTATCAGTTTGGCATCTGTTCACTGCAGTGGTGGGTGAACAAGGCATTATAAACCTTCTGATTTATGATAGGGATTAAACTTAGCAAGATTCAAAGAAACTGGATGACAACTTTTCTTTACAAGATTGTATCTACAGATGCATTGTCAGACAGAGAAGTTGATTTCAGCTTAACCTCCCACCCGCCCATCCCCTCCCCCACCAATCCCCAGGGTATCCCCCCTCAAACCCAGATTTGAATAAAATTTCAAGCTTGAAGTTGCTACTGATTTTCTTAGATTTGTTTAGTAGTGTATCTGGAGCAGTCAGAAAAAGAAACCTTACCCTTACGGAAAACTCCCACAAATCTTTACGTTTTGACAGTAAGTTTCTACAATCGGTTGACATTCCATCGGGTCGATCCTCCAGCTCGATCAGCAGACAGTTCATTTCTGAATCAGATTTAACATCCAAATGTCAAACACAAAATCAATAATCTCTTATGTCAAACACAAAAATAACAATCTCTCATGTCAAACACAAAATTAACAATCTCTCATGTCAAACACAAAATTAACAATCTCTCATGTCAAACACAAAATCAACAATCTCTCATGTCAAACTCAAAATTATCAATCTCTCATGTCAAACACAAAATCAGCAATCTCTCGTGACAAACACAAAATCAGCAATCTCTCATGTCAAACACAAATTTAACAATCTCTTATGTCAAACACAAAATCAACAATCTCTCATGTCAAACACAAAATCAGCAATCTCTCATGCATGTCAAACACAAATTTAACAATCTCTTATGTCAAACACAAAATCAACAATCTCTCATGTCAAACACAAAATCAACAATCTCTCATGCATGTCAAACACAAAATCAACGATCTCTCATGTCAAACACAAAATCAATAATCTCTTATGCCAAATACAAAATTATCAACAATCTCTCATGACAAACACAAAACAACAATCTCTCATGTCAAACACAAAATCAGCAATCTCCCATGTCAAACACAAAATCAGCAATCTCTCATGCATGTCAAACACAAATTTAACAATCTCTTATGTCAAACACAAAATCAACAACCTCTCATGTCAAACACAAAATCAACAATCTCGCATGTCAAACACAAAATTAACAATCTCTCATGTCAAACACAAAATTAACAATCCCTCATGTCAAACACAAAATCAGCAATCTCTCGTGACAAACACAAAATTAACAATCTCTCATGTCAAACACAAATTTAACAATCTCTTATGCCAAATACAAAATTATCAACAATCTCTCATGACAAACACAAAACAACAATCTCTCATGTCAAACACAAAATCAACAATCTCTCATGTCAAACATAAAATCAGCGATCTCTCATGTCAAACACAAAATCAGCAATCTCTCGTGACAAACACAAAATTAACAAACTCTCATGTCAAACACAAAATTAACAATCTCTCATGTGAAACACAAAATCAACAATCTCGCATGTCAAACACAAAATCAACAATCTCGCATGTCAAACACAAAATCAACAATCTCGCATGTCAAACACAAAATCAACAATCTCGCATGTCAAACACAAAATTAACAATCTCTCATGACAAACACAAAACAACAATCTCTCATGACAAACACAAAACAACAATCATCTCTCATGTCAAACACAAATTTAACAATCTCTTATGTCAAACACAAAATCAACAATCTCTCATGTCAAACACAAAATAAGCTATATCTCATGTCAAACACAAAATCAGCAATCTCTCATGTCAAACGCAAAATCAGCAATCTCTCATGTCAAACACAAAATCAGCAATCTCTAATGTCAAACACAAAATTAACAATCTCTCATGCATGTCAAACACAAAATCAACAATCTCTCATGTCAAACACAAAATAAGCTATATCTCATGTCAAACACAAAATCAGCAATCTCTCCTGTCAAACACAAAATCAGCAATCTCTCATGTCAATCACAAAATCAGCAATCTCTCATGTCAAACACAAAATCAACAATCTGTCATGTCAAACATAAAATCAGCGATCTCTCATGTCAAACACAAAATCAGCAATCTCTAATGTCAAACACAAAATTAACAATCTCTCATGCATGTCAAACACAAAATCAACAATATCTCATGTCAAACACAAAATCAGCTATATCTCATGTCAAACACAAAATCAGCAATCTCTCCTGTCAAACACAAAATCAGCAATCTCTCATGTCAAACACAAAATTAACAATCACAAAATTAACAATCTCTCATGTCAAACACAACATTAACAATCTCTCATGTCAAACATAAAATTAACAATCTCTCATGTCAAACACAAAATTAACATTCTCTCATGTCAAACACAAAATTAACAATCTCTCATTTCAAACACAAAATCAATAATGTCTTATGCCAAATACAGAATTATCAACAATCTCTCATGACAAACAAAAAATCAACAATCTCTCATGTCAAACACAAAATTAACAAGCTCTCATGTCAAACACAAAATCAACAATCTCGCATGTCAAACACAAAATTAACAATCTCTCATGTCAAACACAAAATCAGCAATCTCTCATGTCAAACACAAAATTAACAATCTCTCATGCATGTCAAACACAAAATCAACAATCTCTCATGTCAAACACAAAATCAGCTATATCTCATGTCAAACACAAAATCAGCAATCTCTCATGTCAAACACAAAATTAACAACCTGTTATGTTAACATCAAATGAACATCCTCATGTTAAGAGGAAATCAATATCCTCAGGCATATCAAAATATTAATTAAAACGAACAAAAAAGTTGGAACACATAAATGTATTATCTTAAGACTTTAAGCCAGACTTTATGTCAAATCTGTAAAAACTTTGTTGACCTGTCAATTAGTGGAAAAAGAGTACCTATGAAATCGACTAATCAAAAACCCCATGGAAATTCCTGTCAATGTTCGGGATTTAAGTGACATTGCAGTGAATTACTTACGTCTGCCATTTCCAGGATTAATATGGCCACAGTGTTTAGACAAGTCCTGCTGACAGGCCGTGTGGAGTAAGGGATCCACGCCAACATCTATATGAGCTTCCTGTATTGTACGCGCTATTTCCTGTCGGAGATAAACAAAATACACATAACTCAAGGGTATTGCTGTCAAGGCAACACTAATACTTCTACGGATTGTTTTCCTTGACTTGACATTCAATATTGGGGGCTTTGTACTCACGAAGCATTGCCATTTCTACTTTATCGCCAATACTTCGTGCTTCCAAACTGGCTTTCTTATATAATTCCTATATAGGTGCCCTCAAATAATTAAATATTCCTACATATTCATTGTCTGCGCCCATTAGCTCATCTCTCATCTAAAAATAGGCTGGATAAACTGGGTCATGACTGTCTGGTTGGCAGCACTCGCTCCAATCATCTCTCCTCCCTGCAACTTCAGTTTCCTCTGGTCTCGGGCTCCGCCATGGTCATGAAACTTCAAGTAGGTAACAGCCCTACTTTCTCCAGTGGGTATCCGCCCTACTGCCACAGTCATGACCACCTCCAGCCTAGTCTTACATGTACATTTCTGGGGGGGACTCGTGCATTTGTCGCCCCCCATTTGCCAAAAAATATTAGATGAAGTAGCATATTATTATTACATAATAAAGTTGTCAAACCTCATACTTTTGTTGTTATTTTCTTTAAATACAATGTTAAAGATTTTCTACTTTATATTAACAATTTTTGTTTGGACTATAATTAAGGCAAAAAAGAAAATCATGTTTCCTGTTGTATGTCTGAAAAATTTGCACCTTGTAGGAAGGTAATAATATTTTCAATTTATAGGAGAGCAATCTTGATTTTAACAGTTCCTTGGAAATTTAAAAAAAATAAGAAGAAGTTTAGAGTAAACACTAAAAATAGCTTTAGGTAGGGTAACCAGAAACAAACAGAATTTTTTATTTGGCCTAAATAGCCATCAATGATAATCAAGCCCTTTAGGCCGCGAAGCCCTTGCTAAATGTCCAGTTTGTATGACCTAAGGGAACTCCAGATATTGTGACAATACAAATCTGTCTGGTCTGAAAAGCATCCTTAGTGTCTTAACTAAGGATGTCTCCTCATTCCATCAACATGGTACGGGCAACCTATATATACCTTATGATTCTCTTAGAATACTGTTTTAACATGCAAAACGACATCCTCTCTTACGATACGGTGTAATTTGACTCATCTAAAAGCATCTGAATTCACAACAGATTATGTGAATGCCTCCTTTAAATGTGTCTGATCAAGTTTTTTTTACTGATAATTATTAATACATTTAACTGAACTACTTATATTATCTTGTGAAGGAAAACTGATCAACAGTAGACAAATTATTACAAAGACTAGTAATTATTAAAATGGACATAAAACAATATAAAACCTTAGAACCAGTGGCCTTGACACAATGCTTGCCAAAAAACCACATGTATCCCTTTATCCATGAACAGATTTCTATTTCATATAATAACACAAGGAAGTACTTAAATTTTCACAAGAGCTGAAGAAGCTAGGAGGCACGGTAATCTAGTGGTAGGACGCCGGGATCATGACCCCAGGGTTGCAGGTTCGAGTCACGGCATGACACTGTGTTGTATCTTTGAGCAAGATACTTTACTCTGCTTGTTCCAGTCTACTCAGCTGTAAATGAGTATGTGGTTGGGCAGTGCTAGAATTGTTGAACGCTAGCTGTGAGCGCCGAAATGGCAGCACCGGCTGTATACTCCCCAGGGAGTTGAGAAAGATAATTGGCTGAAGGCAAAGGCCCTATAACCACGGATAATAATTTGTGAACTGCTTTGAGACGACCTACGAACTAGGTTGTGATAAAGCGGTATATAAGAACCTACTATTAAGAAATACTGTAGTGTCAGTGTGTACAAAAGACTTTAATACCTTGGCACATGATAAACCATTTTTGCCGTTCCTGATACTTTTGATGTTCTTCTTAAGACACTCGATGACAGCACCCTTGCCATCCTCCGTGACCACCACTCTGTTCTCGCTCTGCATCGCCTTGTTGTGTTCATCTGCACAAACTGTTGCAATCTGACAACAAAGCAAAAAAGCATTTTTACCTCTCTACACAAAAAAAAAAATATTCAGAAAGAAGTAGATGATAATAATAACACAACCAACATATACTGTATGCAGGGACATTTTTGCTGCAGTTTAATGTCAACCTTTTTCACTCTCCATGATGAGGTTGAATTTATTATCACAGTGAATATAAGTAAACAACAGAATATACATAGTAATTAAATGTGAAGGGAGAATTTGACGCTGGACAGAAAATGATTTCGTGGGCGAAGGGTGAAAGTTTGATCGGTGAAAATATCCTTATAAACAGTACGTCTATAGCAGACTACCTGTTAAGTGACTTATATAATACACAGTGAATAAACATCCAGAAAGTGATAGTAAAAAGTGAGTTTTGTGAATTTGTGGGTGTTATTTATTGGTGTTACAAAAGAACCACACAGAACTCGTTTTCAGTGGCTGTATTTTTTAGACTGAGGGCCCCTTTCGCGTATCTGGTTCAACTTGTTTGTCTTTTTTTAAATGCAACATTTTCGGGTATAAATCCTGGCGGACCTACAGTTTACAGGTGAGAACTCACTGAATTTTTGTAAACTTATCCATTTAGGCTATGCCGCAGCTGTCCAAAGTAAAGAAAGAACGAGGTATTTGGTATGCTCCAGGTAGGGGTGACGCAACGTGAAGTTACAAGACAAAATGTTCCTTACCACAGTTTCACAAGCCTTGGATAAAACCGGATCTTCAAGGTAGTTCAGTGCTGCATCTTTGATCACATCTCTGATCTCTGCATTACAATCCCGCGACAATCGCTGAGAAAATGATGAAACACATTGTCACCCGTTTGTTTGGTTTGGTTTTATTGTTTTGTTTAACGTCCTATTAACAGCTTAGGTCATGTTAGGACGTCACCGGCTGGTAATGTATTGTTTAATAAATAGGAACTTTTTTCCACAAAGTATACAATATCATTTCAAGGTTTTCACTTAACTTTTCTACATCATGATTTTGCAAATACCCAGGTAGTGAAAATTTTACGGAAACACAAGTCTAGCTATACATATCATATAGATGTACGCCTATCCTTCCCACTCTCCACCAGAAGAAAATACCTCTTGGTGGTAAGAGGTCAGAGAAAAGTGCCTAAATTTATTTCTGTAACAGTCCTAAATTACATCTAATTTACTTCTCCCAACTTATCTAATAAATATCTAACTTGTCATTTTACACAAGATCCAATGAGTCTCGAGACACATTACTTACATTAACAGCAAACTGTTTCTTTAGACAGTTAATTACTTTTCCCTCCAATTCAACGTCGTTCTTTTCTGTCCGAACAAGATCATTGCAGAATTTGACGATGTCCATCTTGCAGCTTTTCTTCAATGATGGGTTCAATCTGTAATCTATAAAGAACAAAAAGGTGCTGTTAAGATTTCACTTGTGTTTCTTAACAACAGAATCACAACCACTGTGATAATCCGTTTAACACAGACAAAGAAAACAGGCAGTGACCACTTTCCTCCTGCCCCTTATAGATTTGTCTCCCCTTTTAACCGTTACTGATTTCTCTGTCCCGTTCGGGCCCCATGGAAATATCTGATTTCACAGTATATGACAATGCAACACTCAATGCTTTGCACCTATTTGTTCAGGAAGGCGCTGACGGAGACTTGGTCTATGCCTGAGAAATCCCCAATAAAATCTAAACCAAGGATCTGAATCAAAACATACTAGTTAGGAGGCACGGTAGTCCAGTGGTAGGAAGCCGGGCTCGTGACCGAAGAGTTGCCGGTTCGCGCCACGGCGCTGTGTTGTATTTTTGAGCAAGATACTTTACTCTGCTTGTTCCAGTCTACTCAGCTGTAAATGAGTACGTGGTTGGGCAGTGCTAGAATTGTTGAATGCTAGCTGTTAGCGCTGAAATGGCAGCTCCGAGTGTATGCTCCCCAGGGAGTTTAGAAAGGTATTGGCAGGTTGCAAAGGCGCTATAACCATGGATAATAATTTGTGAACCGCATTGAGACGACCTACAAACTAGGTTGTGATAAAGCGGTATATAAGAACCTCCAATTATTATTATTATTATTATAAGTTAGCAAGGTCCAACGGGCTAATTGACCTAATAAACGGAATTACTTGGGCCCCTTACGCATCTCCAGTTCAACCAGCTGAAACGGTTGAACCTAAAAGAAAACAACAAGTGCAGATCTTAACCGAGGCTGACCTTAGGAATATATTTGGCCGTGTAGATTGAGGGGTCCAGACATGCCTGACCGAAACTAAAATGCTGACTATTGCTAGTTTGCATTATTTCTTTATAAATAAAGGTCAATTCATATGTAGATTTTAAGATACGTTATACAATTTAATGGACACTTGAAGAAGGACATATTTTTCTGGAATAATTGTTATTTATTTGTCACCATATTCCGAAACTGTGCATTTTTTTGCTCTGTCTTCAGTTCGATCCAAGTGCTTTCGTTTATCGAGGAATATTTCTGCACCACCTGAACCATTTCAACCGGGACATACGAATGCGACCCTGCATGCTGAACCAGTAGCAGTTGTAACTAAGATATCACAATGATATTATAGCTGGATGGAAGACAATGAGATTCTTTTAAACAAAAGAACACTTTTCAGATGTGAGAGAAAAAAGTAATTCCCTCATTGTCGTTTCTAAGTCACAAGTATTCTATTTTTATCAGATTTGGTCATACATTGGCTACGATTAACTAGGAATTAGGTTGTGAAATTAAATAGCAACTTCTGGGGTTTTATTGTATATCGTTTTCTTTGGTAACGTCTAGATGTACAAACTGAACATAGGTATAAGATTGATGTGTATTATCCACATTACACCAGGGATTAAGCTCACTTATGCTCTCTGCACCCCTGGAATATGTCATAGCAAAATTGATGGCTCAGTGTGCGCCACCTTGTGGATGAGACGAGACTAGTTTGATCCTTTGATGTACATCAAAAGAATCTCATGGAAGCGTGGTGGTAAAAGGACAGGCATCAGCCTAGTGATTGGTCAGGTTTTATTTACCCGAGATAAATAAAATAGCTAGCAGCGTGCCTTCAATTTGGCTGTGCCATATTCCAGGGGTGAAAAGAGCATAACCCCTCAAGTATTGAGGATTGATGTGTATAAGCTCTAGTAACCTGTGTGAAAAGCTTTTTTTCACAAAAAATTCTATTCTCACCTTGATTTTGGATCACTTGTCTTTTAATCACAAACGTTCGACATTTCCTGTCAAACTCTGTCTCGTCTTTGTGTTTCTGTAGACAGTGCATCACGTCTCCATTGGCCTGGACCACTGTTTTACAATATGTCTGAAACACAAACATTAAACAGACAAAGGTCTATTTATTGAAATGCTGGTTTTCAGAGTGAAATGTTTATCACTGGACCGAAGACAGTGAAGTGTTGCTCACTAGAGAAAAACACTGATTAAAAGCATGGAACATTGGTCGTTGGAGTAAAACATAGGTCATCTGGGGAAACAAAGGTCACCGAAGTATCAACAAAGGTAACCGAAGTATCAACAAAGGTCACCAAAGTAGCAACAAAGGTCACCAAAGTAAAACACTGATAATCAGATTGCTACTTTCAATGGTGTGAGAAGAACTACATTTGATACTGGCACAGACACTCTAGCCCCAATATACAATTCTGATGTTAAAATTTAAGTTTACAATTTTATTCTATTTAATAATTTGATGTAGATAAAATGAGGTGCACCTGACATCCAAAGCAACGAAACAAATGCGAAAATATGCTACAGCATGTATTTGGGTTTTCAATTTTATTATACACAGACTCACAGATCTGCGGTATACACAAGAAAATTAATACAAACCTTTATCATACCAGCACAGGCCTGCTTTAACTTGAAGTCTCCAATGTAAACGTCGTCCTTCTGTAATAACAAAGGGTAAATGAGAATTAGATACTGTACACCATTCAATTAAGCTTCATTTTCATGGCAATAATACTAACATTTTACATCTGAAGATACGACTCCTGCACCTTTTGTCATCCAAAGGATCAAATGATGAAGAAATCTGATTATCCCTTCGTAGTCATTAGTAAAACAAGTACATACTAATTTAATTTGGTCCCCACGAAAATATCTGATTTCACAGTAAATGGCACAGGCATAAAAAGTGTACAAAATAATACTTTCTTGGTTATCATTTCACTCACAATTGAACTTAAAATGTAACAGTAGGTGTAGCTTACCTCTCTGACAAATATCATTTTGGAACACTTGTCACCAAGTCTCTTGGGGTGCTGCTTTAAACACTCTATTGCCTGTAAACAAAAACAGATTATGAAATATGTACCATTGATAGAAAAAACTGGACATTTAGAGTGTCATATAGTCAAATGAATACTTTTTTTTACAGCAGAGTGAACTACCGTAAGTAAGTGTATTTTGTTAAACAATCATCAACAGCACTATAACATGTGTGATATACTCTTGAAAAGGGCAGAGGAACTATGGCCAGCGCCTTGCTTCATTACGTTGATGTATCGGGTTTGTCGTCTGGGCGTGGATACCTCGGGTTTGTCGTCTGGGTGTGGATACCTCGGGTTTGTCGTCTGGGCGTGGATACCTCGGGTTTGTCTTCTGGGCGTGGATACCTCGGGTTAGTCGTCTGGGCGTGGATACCTCGGGTTTGTCGTCTGGGCGTGGATACCTCGGGTTTGTCGACACAACACAACCCGATGTCCTCAGTGAGCGGTGCTTTATTTACGTTCAACCACATCCATACTGGTCGGCACGTACAAATATGGTTAAATGTAAATAAAGCACCGCTCACTGAGGACATCGGGTTGTGTTGTGAGTGCACCTCTATGATGGTCATATTGCCGTACTCTTGATGTAAATGAATCGTTACAGCCACACACTCGCTATTTCATGACGATGTATGGTCATGATGTTTACATTCGGGGCTCACGTTTACGCTTGTAATGTTATTCTGCAGATCATATTTCTGTAAACACTTTACTGACTCACTAAATCGTCGAAATATCCTGCTGTACAGTATTTTGTGATAATTCAAAAATGATCTTTCAGTCAAGTTGATCACATGACATAAAAAAAATGATCTATCAGTCAAGTTGATCACATGACATAAAAAAAATGATCTATCAGTCAAGTTGATCACATGACATAAAAAAATAAATATTCAATTTTATAGAAGTACCGGTGGTTCTGAGTGTTAACTGAACCATTCAACAACACTGAACCATTGAACAAGATTGTAATGTTTTTCCTTAAATTATTCCGTCTTTGCGTATTGCAGAGTTATCTTCTCTTGGGAGCAGGTATTGATTGTTACGTCACTTGTTTATGAGAGTAACGTCATCAATTTTTGAGAAAACGACGTAATTTTCTCGCACAAACCTATGACGTAACAATCAATACCTGCTCACAAGAGAAGATAACTCTGCAATACGCAGACGGAATAAGCACAGAAGACATAGACAAACACAAATCATTAAATCATTTAGCGGGAATTTAAAATCTACAGAAAGGATGATGTTGTGCTGATTAAACATTAAAGCACCATACCTTTGCATTTCCATGTTCCACCCCAGAACACACTGTATCCAATTCTTTTTTACATGCCTTCTTAAGTTCTGGGTCAAGGTCAATTTTTTCTCCCTGAAAAAAAAATACAGATGTGCTATCAATTCTGAAGAAGTATCCTCTCAAAATCCATCCTGAAAGCAATATATTGTATGTAGGTGGACAAACAGATCTGTGAAACTGAACATCAAAAGAATACATACATAAACCTAAATGTTCATGGTCACATCGTTGTTATATATCGAGATTTCACAACAAGTAACCCTCGTTTATAATGTATTCTTTCACTGCCTCAGATTTGCACATAATGTCACACAATTTGTTGACAATGTATCTTGTGTGAAGTCAATGAAAGTACTGAGGTCAAAATACCCAGTCACGAGTTTATTCATAGCCAATGACATTGCTTGCTACACATAACGCCTGTGTGTTATCCATATAAATAATCAATGGTTATTCTTATATAGTAACACATCACCTTGAATACACAGGCTATAGTAGAAAAAGAAGTAAGTGTTGGTAGACTATTGATATTTTTTGATGATATTCTTCCCAATGACAGAAACCAACTTTAATACCGACACCCGCTTGTTAAAATATATAAAGTTTGCTCATCTAAAACTGAAGTCCTTCTGTTAAACATGCCGGTCTGACCCAAAATACATTTATTTTTGTACTTAAATTTAAATTTATTTTTTAAATTGTGTTGTCGAAGTATGTACTTACCCTTTGAAGGACCTCAAATCGCAGCTGTTTACGGCAGACCTTTGATATCCTGTGTTTCATCTCGATGACAGTGTCGTTTCTCACGTGTTCGCTCAAACAGGCCACCACATCATACCTAGTAGACATAGTTAAATTAATGTGTTAGATGTATCTCTTCACTAGGCTACATTCACTTACTCGTTCCTTTTTCCTACCTATACCGGACAGGTATATCCAACATTTTGACATTGATTGACAGTGGGCATAAAAACTGTATACAGTGAAATATTTCGCCCTGTAAAACTTTCATCCTTCACCAGTAATAACCATATTCCCAAGTTTAAATTTTGACCTTTACATTTAATAAACTATGTACATTATGTTTTTTTACTAAAGTTGCCGAAATGATAAATTGGCCCTCTGCAATAAAATGCAGCGAAAATTTCCCTATATACAGTATACTTTACAAAGCCTAGAACAAGATTTTTCAGTGTCCAGAATTTGGCACAGCCTCATTCTGGACAAGAAATTGTTCTCTCAGTCTCTGGCAAATACCATACATTATGCAGCACTAGAAACTAATTTTGAATACCACTTATCACAATTTGGGTAGAAGTTTCTAATTTTGACTAGTCCATGTGCAAATTCCACTAACCTAATATTATTCAACACGATTAAGCAATATCAAGTTTTGACTGGTCAATCAGGCTAGCCGTTTTTAACATGTTGGAGATTACACTAGTCTCAGACTATTGGGCTTTATCCTTATTGTCAAGCCCCTGCACATAGATATAAAGTTGACCATACATCTTACATTCTGATTAATAAAGAGGTTTTATCTTATTTACTGCATTCTAATACATCCAATACATGCAATATTTATTTTAAATCTTTACTTTTGATACAGGCATCTTATTTTTTTAAATCTTAACTTCAGGAAAACTTTAGGCCCCTTTTACATATCCCGTTCAACCGGTTTGCCTATTCTTAAATGTAACATTTTCAGGTATAAATCCTGGCAGACCTGCAAATGTTTATGTAGGCCTTGCAAGGTTTTGTCTAGGCTCGTCTGAAAGCAGCATCAGATTACTGGGTCTGACCTGATGTCATAGACGAACAACTCTTGGTCAAACCGGTTCAATCGTTTGGATCGCAATAAACAAATGTGGCCATAGTCAAACCTTGTTATGCCAAAAACATTTTAAACCATTAACCCTTTCACCCCTATCAAACTCAAATCGACTCTTCCATGCATTGATATGGATGAGTCCATTATGGCTTACAGTGGTGAAAGGGTTAAACAAATCTTAGATAAATTGAGTATTCAATACATTGGAGTAAAGAAGACCCTGACATTTGTGATAATGAAGCACGAGTTTGCATTGTTTCTATTCATTATCCCGTAGATCTCGACTATTATACATACTTTGATTTTTTCCCTTTACAGTACATCATCACATTTTCTTTACAGGCTTCTTTGAATTTGTGACTAAACCGGAAATCTTGTAATGATATCTGGAGAAAAAAACAACACACGTCACTGATTTTTAAAGAGTTTATATATAACTGAAATTAAAGACTAAAAGAACAAATAACAAGAGGCCCAATGGGCCTGCATCACTCATCTGGTATAAAACTCACTTGTAACCTTAAAAGTGATCTAAAATAAAGCTCCAGGCAAAATATCAGTATTTATGATTAAAATTCGTTCAAAAGCCCCTGGTTTTTTTTTAAAACATTTCACCCCTGTGATTGAAAGTCGAACAAAGTCATTATGTTGAACACATTGTATAGCCTTTCATCTCAGGATGCAACTTGCAAAGTATAAACATCCTGGGACCCATGGTTATTCATAAGAGGTTGTTTAAAGATTTTAAACAAATTTGACCCCTGTGACCTTGAATATGAGTCAAAGTCATTCACTTTAACAAACATAGTAGTCCTTGATCCCAGCATATGCTAATAACTAAATAACAACAACCTGAGCCTTTTGGTTATTCAGAACAAGTTGTTAAAATATTTTTAAAATATTTGCTCCTTGTGACCTTGAATATGATTCAAGGTCATACATTTAAACAAACTTTGTAGCCCTTCATCCTAGTATGCTACTGACTAAATATCATCACCCAGGGCATTTTGGTTATTGAGAAGTTGTTAAAAGTTTTTAATATATTTGACCCCTGTGACCTTGAATATGGGTGAAGGGCATTCATTTGAACAAACTTCGTATCCCTTCATCTCAGCATGCTACTGGCCAAATATCATAACCCTGGGCATTTTGGTTATTGAGAAGTTGTTAAAAGTTTTTAATATATTTGACCCCTGTGACCTTGAATATGGGAGAAGGTCATTCATTTGAACAAACTTTGTAGCCCTTCATCTTAGCATGCTACTGGCCCAATATCAACACCCTGTGCATTTTGGTTATTGAGAAGAAGATGTTTAAAGTTTTCAAAATATTTGACCCCTGTGACCTTGAATATGGGTGAAGGTCATTCATTTCAAAAAACTTGATAGCCCTTCATCTCAGCTAGCTACCGGCCAAATATCATCACCCTGGGCATTTTGGGTATTCAGAAGAAGTTGTTTAAAGTTTTTAACATATTTGACCCCTGTGACCTTGAATATGGGAGAAGGTCATTCATTTGAACAAACTTTGTAGCCCTTCATCTTAGCATGCTACTGGCCCAATATCAACACCCTGTGCATTTTGGTTATTGAGAAGAAGTTGTTTAAAGTTTTTAACATATTTGACCCCTGTGACCTTGAAAATAGATGAAGGTCATTTATTTAAACAAACTTGGTAGCCCTTCATCCCATTTTGCTTCTGGCCAAATATCATCACCCTAGGCCTTTCGGTTATTAAGAAGAAGTTGTTTAAAGTAAAATATTGACGCTGGACGCCGGACGGACGACGTGCCAGGTGAGCTAAAAATGTATTGATACAAATTTTTATTACAGTACCATATTTATCCTGCAATAAGCCCAGGGGACCAACACATAATTGTTGACTCAAAGTAGGGAGCTGGGCTTTATTACAGGACAATGAAACAGCGTTTGTCAGCATTCATACTGAACTGTAATAAATATGGATGGGCTTATTACCAGGCGTAGGCTTATCACTGGACTAATACGGTAGTTTAATACAAAATAACTGTCAGAGCTAATTATAAATGATATAACAAACAATAAGTATTTCTATTTTGCAGTATTGTGGATTTTTTTTGGATTAAAAATTGCATGTCAAAGTATTCCGTCTTTGCATATTGCAGAGTTATCTTCTCTTGGGAGCAGGTATTGATTGTTACGTCATATGATTGTGACGGAATATAATATATAGCATACAACCTTAACCAACCATTTCTTCAAACTTAAAAATTTGATTCCCTGATACCGTATCCTGTAAGAAAACTCACGATTTGATGATGTTCCACCCCTGCAGCACACCTCTCGTCCATTGACGGATCGTGCTTGTTCTCTATGAGACAGTCCATCACCTCCTCAGCATCTGCATCCTCCTCCATCTCCTACAAACCAGGAACAAAAGTTTACATTCATTTACCCCTGAAGACACATTTTGAACTTTTCCAATTCAAAGAATAGGAATAGTTCATTATGAAATTTCAGGGGTGAATGAGTTAAAGAGTGTACAGTCTGATATATAGCATTACCATTTTCACTTTCCTACAATTAATCAACACCATAGCCATTCTTTTGACTTATACAAAACTTCATGAAACATTTATTTCATTTTTCAAATGTTTTTTTTTTCTTTTCACTTGAATTTAAGAAACAGCTGTATATGGTTCATAAAAAAAAATTGAATTTGTTGTTGAAATCCTTGTTATATGTAAGAGTGGTAAACTAGGCAAGTGTTCGTTAGGCAGTAAATCAAGGGCATTAACTCTTCTCTAAATCGTAGTGGAAAAATAGTTGTCACATATACTCAGGTGAGTAGGACATGTGCAAAATTTGGTGTGTACTTTAGGAGTAGTCTGTACAAAATATTGTCTATACATGTACAGCCATCAGAAAACCTGATTCCAATACAATTGATCCTACTTCCCTTCCCGCCCCTCTTAACTTGCAATTCAATGGGTGGTTATTACAGGGTATACTTGAATTTAAATTAGATGCCTTTTTCCCAGGTTTATATTACAGATATCAAAACTTGCTTCAACACCAAAGCAAGTTTTTGTTTTTTGATATCTATATAGGAACAGCATTATCGTTTATTGAAGCATCTCTCTGGTAGCCATTTGAGAACTGACCTCTCGACAAAACTTCTTAATCATTGGCATACAGGACTTCATGACAAGGTTGTCTAGCTCCAGGTATGTGTCCTGGCTCTCCGTGATGTTACCAATGATTTCCTGACAGTCATCCTCCAGGTCGTCATAGTTGTCTTGTAGACAGGACAGCTCCTGACAACAAGATCATATAATGTAAAACTAAAGTGATTAAAGTTGTCTTGTAGACAGCATAGCTCCTGACAACAAGATCATACAATGTACAACTAAAGTTAGTAAAGTTGTCCTGTAGACTTGACAGCTCCTGACAACAATATCATATAATGTACAACTAAAGTGATTAAAGTTGTCTTGTACACATGACAGCTCCTGACAACAAGATCATATAATGTACAACTAAAGTGATTAAAGTTGTCTTGTAGACAGGATAGCTCCTGACAACAAGATCATACAATGTACAACTAAAGTGAGTAAAGTTGTCCTGTAGACTTGACAGCTCCTGACAACAATATCATATAATGTACAACTAAAGTGATTAAAGTTGTCTTGTAGACATGACAGCTCCTGACAACAAGATCATATAATGTACAACTAAAGTGATTAAAGTTGTCGTGTAGACATGACAGCTCCTGACAACAAGATCATATAATGTACGACGAAAGTGATTAAAGTTGTCTTGTAGACAGGACAGCTCCTGACAACAAAATCATATAATGTACGACGAAAGTGTTTAAAGTTGTCTTGTAGACAGGATAGCTCCTGACAACAAGATAATATAATGTACACCTAAAGTGAGTAAAGTTGTCCTGTAGACTTGACAGCTCCTGACAACAAGATCATATAATGTACAACTAAAGTGATTAAAGTTGTCTTGTAGACATGACAACTCCTGACAACAGATTATATATTGAATGTAAATCTCAGTTAAACACTTGTAAAAGGTCGTCAAACATTTCCTATATACCAACATCCTGGTCACAAATCATATATATGTTTGTTTTATTTTCGAATTGTTGAGATTCCTGAATTTCATGTTTTGCGCTATCAACAGTTTTATCAAAACAGTAAAGCAGATTTTATATCAGGGTTCTCCCCAGGCCATTTAGCTGATACGGCTCCGTATCAGCTTCATTTTGAAATCCTCCCTGCCGTATCAGCTTAATTGACCCGTATCACCTTAAACTGTGAACCGTATCACCTTGTTATTTGTACTGAAGGTGGTCTTTTTACACAAGAAATTGACACTGATTAAATGACACGGCTGACCCAAGTCCAGCAATGACCCCACTGGTCAGTTGCACGATAGGCGTATTGCCACAGGGGGCCTGTAATTAGTGGGGAGGGGGACCGGACGACAAGCCCACAGGTGTCCGGCAATAAGCGTGCTCACTGGAGCCTAAAGCAATTATCACCGGATCCTTTTAACATGGTCAATAGGTGATTAATTGAGGTACCTACTGTTGGATTAACAAAACAAACACTTATTACATCTATTATAAATTAATTTACTCCCATATGATTGCATTTGACAACGCTGAAATAGCGTGTGTATTCAGTTAGTGATGGTCGCCATCTTGGATTGTGTAAAGTACAAACCGGAAAGGGGAATGAAAATCCGGATTTGTCGTTTTTAATGAAGAAGAGCTCAAATAAAAATGCTGTTTTAATCTTTGATCACATTAACTGACAGCAGTATTTAATACAGTTTTGGAGGAAATAAAAACACTGTACATTTTATTAAACCATTTTCTCTTACAATAATAAGAACTATGATATAAACTTTTTCATGTAAGTGTTTCCCCCTAAAGCACAAACAGCTTTTAAATATGTCTTCTTTAAATTATTTTTAATGGGGATTAAGTAAGGGATACAAATGTAAAGATAAGAGACAAATGTCACAAATGTCATATCTATTATTCAATGTACAAAACTCATACACCTTTCTATCAATTGTATTTTTTTTAGAATATTTAAAACAATAATATTGCTGAAAATTCAGACATAAGAAACACTTATTTATTTCCTTGATTTTAATGTTCACCAAAAGAAGTTTGGTAATTAAAGTAACTTTTTAAACATAATATTACCCCCCCCCCTTTAGGTTTGATAAGGTATTATATTAGCGTGTCCGTCTTGAATGTTCGTTGCAAATGAAACATATCAGCTTAAAAAAATTCTGGGGAGAACCCTGTATATATTTATAATGTAAATCTCAATTATACACATGAGAAGGTCATCATCAAAGATATCCTGGTCACAAATCATATAATTATGTTTGTGCTATTTCAGATAATTGAGATTCCTAAATTCATGTATTGTGCTGTCAACAGTATTAAACCAAATCAGTAAAGTACATTCTAACATATCTTGATTAAACCAAAATCAAAATCCATTAGCTAAGCCAAACGCTGTAAGGGCTATTCCAGTAAAACATCTAACTCACCCCAGGACTCAAAGGTTTTGTTTAGGGATACCATACAAAGAATTTAGTCATAAACTGCATAAAAGTAAAAGGCAGGAGACTCATGTCCATGGAGAGAAGTGATCTATTTTGCGAGCTCTGAGGTTGGTTAGCTTTATACTGGAATTACCCTTATACGAGTTTGATGTCCGATTCCTAGCCAGTGGACAGAAAAACAACTTTGTGATGAACAGGAAATCATGATATACATTTTCTAGTTCCTTGTATTACTCTAGTATTGACTGCTGTATAAGTCTTAAGAAGGATGTACACCTCTATTAAGGTAGGTCCTTCAAATTCCTCAAATATTGTATTGATTTATGTATATATGCTAATTGTATATTGATTGTACAAATTGTATATCTATGTACTGTAAGGCGCTTTAGAGTGGCATATTCTAGCTCTATATCAAATGTTGTATATTATTATTATTATTGCAATTCTTACCTCCCCTTTTTCGTAATTGTCTGACTGGCCATCAGAACAGAATCGTCCCAAGTCATTGACACATTTCCTTTCAATTTCTGTGTCCAACTCAACTCGTTTTGACCGGCGCCTCATCACTCTCAGAATCTCGTGCTTACAAGCCCTGGTGACCTGCGTCAGTAAGAAGTATATTTAAGTAAGAGAATCACATCCAGGGGTTGGAGGATTGGGGTATCAAATTTCACTAATAGAAGCATAAACAGTATATAGGAAATTTGTAAATCAATGCTCCACTTTCTGTTATTTTTGCCTCCAAATTCAACAAAATCTATAAATTTTCCTGAAAATACATGTGATAAATGAAGTTTTCAACAGGACTCGGGTAAACTTTAAATAAAGGCAAATTGGTCTTGCAAGACATCAGAGAAAATTAAGAGGCATGAATAGTAAGGAAATATCAATAGTCTTGTCAATAGTGTTAAGTTTAGTTTCACTCAAGACATTAGCTGATCAGGTTTCAACACACATTACACTCTTGTTGTGATATAGCATATCTCAAAACGAGTTTAATACAAATATTGATGTGTTTTTTTTTAAATAAACATACTTCTGTTAAATATTAAAAATCAAAGATATAATTTGTTCTCTGTGTAATAGTTAAAATTGATACTGTTGAAGTGACATAAACAGCTTTATTTTCACAGCACAAAACAATACAGGCCACTCCTAAGAATTTGTTTTGTTGTTGATGTGTGTTTTTACCACTGCATTCCAACGAACTTGGCAGACACCTCATCATACCTGTAGTTCAGGATCAGTGTCGTGGTCCTTCATATAACGGAACAGACATGGGAGAACCATGGGACCTAGCTCCACATTTGTCGAATCCTGCTCTATCCAGGTTTTGGGGGCGTGGCACAGTTTGAAAGCGTCCTGGTGACAGTGCTTGTACAAGGTGGCATCCAGCCTGTGCGTAAGGGGAAATAACTCTTGTCATTGGACAATCAACTTTTTTTTCATTGCAGATTGGTTCTCACTTATTCTTATTTTAAAACCTTGTTCAGACGCTTTTCTTGATACAAATCAAAAATGGCAAACTAACATTTGAACTGTACAATATGAAGCAGGTAAAATGTGTTTTGAACTTCAAAATCTTATCTCTACATTAAAGTGTAATCTGTAGAGGAAAAGCCACAATTGTTTTTGTGAATAAAGATGGAATAAACTTTCTGATAGAGTGGCTCCACGATTGATCTGTCAGGGCCATGATGTGTTTATTATTCATCCTTTTTGTCAACCATACGCTATCATTTAATTACGCTAACAAAGCACATTCATAGCAGAAGTTTATATTTTGAATCAGACACGACTCTTTCAAATTTATTCTCACTAGTAGTTTTTAAGGAAACTTCATAGACGATTGCAACTTGGATATAATGCTTAAATTCAGAAAACATTTTGGAAAGATAATAGAAAAACTGATAATAGAAAAACTGATTTTGCATTTTCCAAAAGATTGTGGCACAATTTACCAGGAAATCAGGCAACAGTTGAGTGTCTTGCACAAAGGACAAAATGCTCTGCAGAGGCACATAGTGGATCAAAGATAATCCAGTCACTTTTGTTCCAGGTAAAAACTAAAAATTGTCCAGTTAATTGTGAGATAGCTGGATACCAGGACAATATTATAAACAAAATCAATTTATCTGTAAAACCAAGACCTAATGGTTGGCCAATACATTTAGTGTTAGCTGGATTATTAACCTAGGTACGACCATGGGTTTTTTCTCACCACTTTGGGAACGGGGCCCAGTGACTTTAGAACTGGGAAACAAGATAAGCCAAATAAGGAAATTCTGGAATCGTACCAAAATATTTATTTTTTTTATTTGCAAAGTGTCATCTAAAAGACCTTTTTTTTTAGACAATAGGGCTACATTCGCGTTACCGGTTGAAACGGTACGTGTGGCGCAGAAATTTTCGACGATAAACGAACACACTTGGACCGTTCTATAAGCAGAGCTAAAAATGCACAGTTTCGGAGAATAAAAAACAATGTATCAATAATATTATGCCCTTCTCTCACGCGTCCACTAAATTACATAACGTATCATAAAAACTACATGTGGCTTGACATTGTTTTAGAAAGAAATAACGCAAACTAGCAATATTCAGCAGTTTAGTTTCGGTCAGGTACGTCTGGACCCCTCAATCTACACGTACCAAATTTTACTGAGGTCAGCCTCGGTCCAAATCTGTACCTGTCGTTTTCTTTACAGGTTCAACCGGTTCAACCGTTTCAACCGGATACGCGAATGTACCCTAGATTTAAATGAGAATTTTTGAAATAGTAGCAACATTTTGCGTTGGGAATGGGACTATATTTTGGCCCCAAAATGGCCCTAGAAAAAGTCTTGCCCTCTTACAGTCAGACATGTCTCCAAAGAGTGTAAATAGTCCGAGTATTTATGAAAAGTGTCAGCATTACTGATGTCTGTAGTGACATCCTTACCTGAAGTCCCGCACGATGAAGTACTGTATCTGCATCAACTTTTCCTCACACAGGTCAGTCATATATTCCGAATCAAGGTGGTCCATTAAGCAATTGATCACCCTGCAAACAAAACAGTAGCCAGCAATTTATCTTAAAATATTCCAATAGTGACATGCTAAATGATGCATCATGCTGACTATGTAGCATTCTATCTTCATGGGGTTAAACATTTGTAATTTTGTTCTGGGAAACAAATTTGGATAGTTTAATTTTTACACAAAAACTGGTAAAAGTCTGGAGTTTATGTAATTTACCTAATAGGAGAGGGAGTAGCAATTTTCACAAGTATATATTTCAAATTTTCTGACTGAAAAATTAAGATAATTTTTCTGACTGCAAACTTAATTTAAATTACAAGTATTAAACAAGTTACAAACATATCTTAATCACTTAAGTTTGCACAGATGAAGTACACAGGTGTCTTTCTACAGGAGGACACCAGACCGCCTAGAATAAAGCCTATGTGGCCTTGCAGGTGACTGCATACCTTATCTCATCAAATCCGAAACCAAAATTCTGTCTTGGTGAAAAATCGGCGAACTATCCACAGTACTATCTGACCACCCTTATGTGGGTGTCATTAGAACAGCTATTGCTTATTCCCTGTGTACTTACTCAGCATCTCCAGGATGAATGTCCTTGCATACGATATTGACCACCTCCTGACAGGCTTTTTGCAGGTTTCTGTCCATACGGAAGTCACTGCCAACATCAGCCTCCCTCACTAGGCTCTCCAGCTATGAGATATAATCAAAGTCAGATTTCAGTATCTTACCTTCCATTTAAATACCACACATTACAACTCACAGTGCTTTAATTCCCATCATCAATCTACCAGCATCAAAATACACATTTGTATACAAATTTCTCAAGTGTACTTCCATTTAACATCTTATCCTCTAATAAAGCTCAAAAACAGACCAAATTGTCAAAGACTAAATTTCAGTCAGTATTAAATAAGACTTATGTATCCACAAAACACAAGCACAGCACTTTGTTTGAACCCAACGTTTCAGTACAACATGAGATCTATGATTCAGTATTAGTATTACATTACCTCAAGGTTTCATTAATAACAGGAGTCCAGTTTAAGATTTACATGAGCCCTTAGTTTCAGAATCAGACGAGCCCTGTTTCAGAATCACACAAGCCCTGTTTAAGAATTGAAGAAGCCCTGTTTCAGAAACACACGAGCCCTGTTTCAGAATTACACAAGCCCTGTTTTAGGATCATACAAGCCCTGTTTCAGAATCAAAAGAGCCCAGTTTCAGAATCAAAGGAACCCTGTTTCAGAATCACATGAGGCCTGTTACAGAATCAAACAAGCCCTGTTTCAAGATCACACAAGCCCTATGTTTCAGGCATTAGATAAGTCCTACTTACAGCTCTGACACAGGGTGGAGACAACTGGGGGCTAGCCTTCTTGTGTTGGTTCCTGGCATGTTCCATCAGGCAGTGAATGGTCTTTCCCCCTCTTGTCAACCCTCCCTCACACATTGTATTGATCTCAGCACCACACGAGGCCACTATCTCAGGATTTATCTTGAAATCTGCCATCAGAGTTTTACGAAGGTCCATCATCTCAGCGAGACACTCTGGCGTGATGACTGTGTCTGTAACCAAAGAAACAGAAACAAAGTGAGTGGAATCAAACATAGACATATTTGAAGTTTTTAACTTGTGTCTAATCCCATTTGTATTGTTGCAAATATCATATGTTTAAATCAGATATACGCCCACCTCCTCTTCCCTCCCATCCCGCTTTGCCTGTGACCTCTGACCCTTTAACCTTAACAAATGACTTCTGAAGTCTAATCAGGTTTAGAACTCCAAGTAACCATACCATTGTGTAAATATGTTCTTGATGTCTATCTCGTACACAAGCTTTTTACTTCAAAAGTTCTGTTCTTTGACCTTGACCTTTGATCCTTTAGCCTTGACCAAAGACCACTAAAATCTAATCAGGTGTAGACCTCAATATTACCAAACTATGGCGTAAACATAAACTTAATATGCTCTGGGGTTCATCAGAGACACCTTATACACAATCTGTTTAATACGGATGCATTGGACAAAAGTACTTTCCTCACTAGGTCGCCTTGTCAGGAACAATCTCGGTTTTAGGGGAATCTACCCTTTTTCAGATTTGGGAGAAATTAAAATTTTGATACAAGGCTATAGCGTCATGAAGGTAAAAGATACATGTTTTGTCTGACATACATGTGAGCAGCATATTTCAATTTATAAACAATTTTAAGCTTATTTTTTTTTAAATAATGCAAAGAAAATGTATATATGAATTATTATGCATTTCAACTGTTGAACTGTAAAGTAAACATATAGGGGAAATATTTTGAAGAAAAACAAATATCTTCTTGTTGAAATAGGGGGATTTTGAAGCACATAAACGGTAGTGAATCAAGTCTAGATTCATTCCAGGTATGGGTTATAAACATTTGCTTTTTTTACAAACATCTAATATATTCACAAAAAGCTTCATCACAATCTCACTTACAATTCAAAATAATAACTGAATCAAGCTAATACTGGCCAATCTTGCTCTCATTTAAGTAAACAAATTCAAACAAACCAGGCACCAAACCTTCACAACTGTCTCAATATCTGCATTACCTACCTCTCTTATGGGCATTCTCCAGACAAAGAAGGACAGATGCACGCCTGGCATCGTCGTCATTGTTGTTGTTCCCAGCAGAGAAGCAGCCATTTTCCTTGATGTCTAATCGACAGGCACCGAAGAATGACTTCTCCACTTTAACATCTTCTGCTATCAGTCGCTGTCTAACTGTCAGCTTGTCCCGACACTGCAAACACACGAGAACAACTTTCAAACAATGAATAACAAAATATCATTTTTCATCCTTTCAGAGGGTTTATATTCTGCAAGTTTGTGCACAGGAAATCAGGAACACTGCGAACACAGAAAAGCCTTGTTTCTGCTTAAATACTACACCCTAGGGTAGAATATTCATATCCCACATACCTACTAATGATAGACTGGAATATTATCTAGTCACGTAGAGTAAGGGCTGTTCCATAATTTACTGTGTGGGTGAGGTAGGAGACACCATTATTTACTCGTTCACCCCTAAATGTTAAAACTAGACTTGCCCAGTTTTTGATTTGGTGAGGTTCAAATGTAACTTAAAGGGTGAATGGATTAATACATTATGAATGGGTGGGTGAAAACCAGATCTGCTCACAATTCCTTATACTAAATTCACTTTTAAAATTTTATGGGTGGCAGGATTCTCTGAGAAAGTGCCTCTCACCCCTCCCCTACGATTAATTTTGGAACAGCCCCAAAGAATTGTAAAAAAATGTGTCATATTTGAGAAATAAGAAAATTGAACAGATATGAGCCATAACAAGATGATTTTTTGTGAGTGTGTGTGTCGGGGGGGGGGGGGGGGGGGGTNATAGAAAATGAGGTTGAATTTATTGATGTTTACCTCGTCAGACATGTCAGCATCAAACTTGTGTTTGAACAGACATTCGTAGACTCTTCCCTGTCCAGCCACAATGCTTTCACAGAACCTCTCGCGGTCAAGACGACAGGCGTAAAACAAGGGCCTATCGAGATGGTAGTCGTCGGCTTGAAGCTCCGCTATCCTCAACAACTGTTTCTTACAGACAGGATTCAGTTGGCTGATCTTCTTGGCCAAACAGTGCAGTGTTCTGCCTTGGGAATGAACAGCCTGTGTAAAGAAACATTATTCATCAATCATGAGTCTTAACCATATTTTACCTGTGAAAAGCCCAGGAGGCCTGTGCAAGAAAATATGTCAAAAGGTAGGGAGTGGGCTTATTACCGGATATGTGACATAACTTTGCAGTTTATTGACAAAGTAGACCATACCGACTACTGTCTAGCTGACATTAGTTAGGAGTTTGGAGTATTCATCTTGACTGATTGCATTGGTAAATACCCCAGTAGAGCGTCCTTCTAGAGTTTGAAGGGTCCTGGGGTTCGAATCAGTCTTACCGTGCATTTTCCTTCTGTTTTTCATTTTCCAGAAATTCAGTGACAGGATTTTATGTATTTCCACGCATGCAATAATTACAGAAACCATTTTTTTTTTTCGAAAGTTAGAAAACCAGCCTACATATCTTGTATACCTTACTATCCTCGAACTGTAGTCTCCCACACTGATGTGCCTGGATGTCGCTACTACATTCATCAACGAAGCCGTAGACCATGCGGAAATCACTGAAGACAATCCTTGCCATCTTGTTGAGGTAAGTTCTGCAGTTATTATCTGTGATGTTTTCAATGTTTTCCACTAGACAAGGGATAATCTGTCCCCCGCCCTTTTGTAGTTTTCCACATTCAGGTATCTGTAAAAATAAAGATCAAAGAGAACAAAAAGATTAATAGATACCGTCATTTTTCAGCGTTCTTGATTAGAGTTAGACTTCACAAATGGACCAATTGAATTTCAATAAAATCCATTCCAACAGAATTTAAACAATATGGCTTCCATATTGGCCATATCAGATTTGGAATTGGCTCCAAATTAACAAAAGTTTGTAGGGCCCATTTACTGATATTTTCCAAAAGGATTTGCCCAAATTATGTCCGTAAGTTTTGAGTTAGTTCAAAATAGATGGAAAAGGGCTCCAAAACAACATTTGACCTGGACCATACACCAATCACTGTTGTTAAATTTCAGTTATGTCTGTTCAGTAATATTTGAGTTTAAGTCAAAATGGACTTTTACGAAGGTTGTCACAATGAATTTCGAATCGGATCCAAAATAACATAAAATTGTCAAAACCATTAATTTATTCTTCCGAGTTACTTTTGACATAACTATTCCATTAGTAACACAAATCAAGACACAGACAAGCGATAATTTTACCAAGGGCTGTGCTAGCTAAATAGAGATTCATAACATCTATGCAATTATTTTCAGACACTGTAAAGGGATTCGGCTCAAGTTGCTTCCGACACTAGGGATCAAACCAGGGGTGACAAATTATTCTACGAGTCCTGTGCTTTTGCGGCTGGTAGACTTCATGTCAGGACCCGTGAAAATTTCCAATATTTACTGTGAAAATATCTGTCATGTTAGAAGAAATGATTCTTAGAAATATGTCTTTAAATATGAAATACAAAAATCGTCGTTTACTCCTACAAATATGCACCTACTAGCACAACCAAGGTTCAAACACTGTCAAACACTCTACACATCTTAGATGATGTCAAGAATTAATCACTTACATTTTTCAGCTCTTTCACACAAACTTCATCAGCAGCATATTCAAACCGGTCATCTTTGGTCAAATTCATTTTGTACTGCCAAACAAACTGCAACATAAAGACCCATGGACACATTTTAGTGATGTTATGTTTTCCATCTCCCATCAATTAGACATTACAAGGAAAAATATATTTCGATGTAAGAACAGGAAAATGTTGGTCTCACCGACGTCACATCTGACGATGCCAATTGTATTTTTCACACTAACAGTACTCTCTGATTGGTTGGTTGAGGTGAAAGAAACAAAAAGTGTTATTTAATTATCACAGAAGAAAAATATTAACTATATTTCAAGGTGAAATCTTAAATTTCACAAGTAAAAATGTTTTTTAGCATTCACACCAAGTGATTACTTACATTTTGACACTTGGGGCTGATATCTTCAGCAACCTGAAATATAAAGTACGTTGAATCTTTAAAATTTTATTTCATGTAATATAAACTACAATTACACAACAAAGGTTTATCCTAAACAACAAATCAAAAATACAAATATAATGTCATGAATATGGTACATTTTATCTCAATGCTTGAAGCAGCTGACAAGATTTTTCGTCAGACTGGATCGTTTCTTCGTTTCCATCTTTTTCCCTGTCCTATTTAATTTACAACCTTTTAAAATAAACACTTTAACTTATATAATTAAGACTTTAAATATTTTTCTTTATTTCATGTATATAAATTCATTAAAGAATACATTTTCTTTCAATACAATTATAATTACTATGCAAAAGTTTGAGCAAAATATGATATCTTCTTTTGTCAACATAGAGGTGTAAAAAAAGATTTCATATCCCTTTCGATTTCCCAGGTCAAGTAATTGATGATACCAAAACGCCACTTGTCTGAGTTTAATTATTTTACTAGCCCCACTTTTTTCCCCAGTCAGAAACCAGAGAATTTCAGGTTGAGTAGGTAAATCATCAAAATGGTAATAAAAGATAAATAGGACATGCATCAATAAATTAAATGTTCATAAATCAGAACATCAACAATCATGAGAGAAATAACGCTAATTTACGCCCTAAAATGTTTAAGTCCTGTATTCATTGAATTATTACACATCAGACATTTAGCTTATAAGTATATATATTTGGATCTTGTAAAAACGGGAAAATCATGATGTAACATTGGAGTTGCTGATTGGCCAAGTGTCTGAATGAAAACTGATAAGTATGTATGAGTGACTTTACACACCATATATACTTGTCAACCTTTCGGAAAACTGTGGGAGTCTCCCAAATTTTTCTGGTACCTCCTAAATTTTCCCATTAGCAGTACATCTCCCGATTTCATGTAATTTTTCACAATTTCCTAACTTAACAAGTTCTAACACAGGTCCCTAGTCAGGCAGTGTATCAATAGCCTTGGCCATTCCCTATAGCTCTTCTAGCACAGACAGTGTGACCCTGATTAATTCTGTACACAAAAGGAGGTGTAAGATCCCACCACCACACACACGAGGACAACAGGGACCACACAGCCGCTGTGACATCCTATCCGCATCTGAGGAGCAGTCTAACCTTGTGTCATGACCTGGACGAGCCGAGAACTTTATGAAACTTAAGAGAGTCTGGTAAGCAGCAACTTATTACCTCCATGTGTGGGCCAAACACAGACCACTGTCAGTGAAGTAAGACATAAAACCAGTAAACCAAACCATCCCACCACCAGCAAGCTTTGTCCTATGACTAGCCATAGAGCAGGAGGGGCCATATACCATCAGAATTTGTGAACTGTCAACATTGTGCCAAATAAATATTACTGACATAAGTGGCAAGCTGAAAGCATACTTGCCCTGACAAAGCCAGTCAAAATTGCAACAAACTGAACTTGTCCAGATGTGAAAACTTGTTTTCCTGGGTATTTGGCAAATGGACCTTTACACCCCTGAAAGTGATATATGTGGTAGATATGTTGCCTTCTAGCTTTGAGAGAATTGCCCTTTAGCCCAATCTGTCGAGTGTAGCAGACTGGAAGCAGGGGGTCTTGGTTTGGTCCCCAGTGGAAGCACACTACTCTCCTGTTACAAATGATGTCCATGGCTCTCCCTGTCATGACATGGAGTTAAAACTTGGCCGGTTGTTGCCGTGTTTGTATGCAATCTTATTTAAAGGGGAGGAAGTGTGGCACACTAATCTCTTTCCTATTACAAATATGAAATGGGTAAATTGACAAAATAAGACATTTTGCATGATCTTTTTCAAATAGTATTCACCTTGAGGCTTGATTTTCCACCAAAGTGGTCACATTTCACATTGTTATTTACACGATATTAAACCAACCCGTGACCTTTTTGAGAAAAAAATATTAAACAAAAAATAGGTCCTAGTGTCAGGATGAAATACATGAAGAAATTAATATAGCCAAAGGAGTCTAACGTTTAATCAATATAACTATAAAAATACCCCTTATACTTTTTTATACCTGGTAGTTTAAGGGGTATTTTTTATATACAGATCGTACTGATTAAACTCCTGTGATACAAGTTACAATTATACAACACTTATCCTAACCTTTGGATCTCTTTGTAAACAATCTAATACGGCAAAATTATTTTTCATTGATTTCCGGCTGCAGTGCGTAATGATGTCTTCAGCGCACTCTGTAGTTTCTGCAAGTTTGAACGCTTTCTTTAACGGCCTTGCCGGATTTTTCCCGTTGTTGTTTTGGTCCATTTGTGCTCCCAATTGTGGATTTTGTTGCAATAGCATGCTTTTCATGCCCGGTCTTTGACCACCCAGTTGTTTTAGTTTCTCTTTTACAATTGGGATATGGTTTTGCGGATCTCCATCACCAGCCTTAACGTATGGAAATCTTTGACCAGCATCTCCAGCAGGAATTACATTATTTTGCCCCGGTTCAAGATTTCTGCGTTTGAATCTCTCCAATGTTTTGTCACCGGCATTCTTCTTGACATAAGCTTCTTCTCCATTAATTACACAAAATGACAGTATTACGCTGAAGAGCAGTACACGTCGGCTACAGGCAGCCATTTTGACCGAACAACATCTATCAGCAAATATATAAATCCGAATAAAATAGTTCGTGTTTTATTTTGTAAACTATTTCAATCAGGCCTGTTTATTGTTAGTATAAGAGAAGGTGAGTTGTGAGTATCGAACTTGATTCAATATGGAAAACATAACTGCATGTTCTCTTGCATAGCGAAATATTTTTTTTGAGAACTACTTTTCACATGTTCATACGCACGGAGATTCTAATTTACAGATGGGATATAAAAGTTATCCGTATGCCTGCTCCTATCGTGTACTCATTAAAATGTAATAGTAGGAACATTCAATCGATAGGCAATAGCACATATGTGATGACTGTGTGAGTGTTTATTCTTGTATTATTTTACCTCTATCGTATGTTCTTCTTCCGTATCCTGTGCCAATAGGGAAGAGTGCATTTCCATATTTTTTTTAAACATATTTTATTGTAATTCATATACAATGGGAGTTGGGCACACTTTTAACAACTTATATTAAACCCTTTTCCTACAATATTTTAATACAAATGTGTCCATATGCATTGATAGTGTACATTATTTGATAATATGTAACAAACTATTTAGTTTGTGCCGACTTTTATAGTAACAAATAACTGTTAATCCAAATGAATTCAATAGACCTATAACATTCGTGTGTCTCAAGGTGGTCGGGATGGGGTGTATTTGTATTGTTAACTTTGTACCAATTTCTACAAAGAGTTGTCGTTCTTTACACTCAATAACACTGATAGTTAGTGTATGGAAAGACAAATCTTGGTTAAAAATGTTGTTGTACTGTCAGAAAAAGGCCAGCGATGAAACACAAAAACATTTGTATGACTCATTACGCAGTATTACAGTGCAATTGGGCGAAATGTCTCTATAATTTTTGACGGCTGACTTTACTGAGGCACACTGTGGCTAAGTGAGTTGTTTTCGGCGGTTTAGAGTCGAGACACGCATCTGTCATTTACTCTTTGCTTGACAAAGGAAACAGACACTTCCGAAAGCTCGCAAAATAAGTATTCTATTCCTGTTTTTGTTCAAAACAAACTTAGCCTTCATGATCGAGAAGCGCTAGTATATAGTATTTCTTACACCTTGAATTATAACATCCAAAACTCCACGATGCACATACATCATACTAGTGAACGGACTTTTTTCAGTGTTCATGCTGTTATGAACGCAAATAAGTATATGATACTTCATATTAATTTGCAGGTGCGACAGGATTTATTCCAGAAAATGTGTATATATATGTGTGACTGATTTGCGTTCATACTGACATGAACATTGAAAATGCCGTTAACTACTTACTATTCCAACAATCGATTCTGACCGGTGAACTTCCTGATGACTGGAGGAATGCCAACATTACCCCAATCTTTAAGAAGGGTAACCGCCATCAACCCAGCAACTACAGGCCAGTGTCGCTCACTTGTGTGTGTTGTAAACCGGTTGAGCATATTATCTACCGCCACCTCAGGAAACATCTCGAGGAATAAAACATACTGACACATTTACAACATGGCTTCAGGTCAGGAAACACCTGTGAATCCCAGCTGCTGATTACCACCTATGACATCACCAACATGTACTACATGAAGCTACAAGTGGACACTGCCATCCTGGATTTCAGCAAGGCCTTCGATAAGGTTCCCCACTCCAAACTCCTGTACAAACTAGAGAATTTTGGTGTGAACCCCGACATCCTACAATGGATCAAGGCCTTCCTGACATCACGGACCCAACGAGTACTTGTAGACGGCAGCCATTCAACACGAGTGAAGGTAGATTCATGGGTTCCCCAGGGGATGGTCCTGGGACCTATACTCTTCCTCTGCCACATCAATGACTTGCCCGACTGCGTAACATCTACTGTACGTCTATTCGCTGATGATTGTCTGTTATACCGCCCAATTCGATGCCTTCAAGACCACCTGGACTTCCAAAAAGACCAGAAGTCCTTGGAAGAATGGACAACGAAATGGGTTATGTCTTTCAACGCGTCGAAATGTTATATTCTGAGAACGTCAAGATTCAAGTCGCCTAGTGCCTACAACTACCAACTGTCGGGCCAATTACTCATAGAAGTGGAAGAAAATTCATACATGGGGTTGACTATTCACAACTCCATGAAGTGGGACTCTCATATCCGTAACACAACCAACAAGGCAAATTCCACTCTCGGATTCCTAAGACGAAACCTGCGACAGTGCCCAGCGTCACTGAAGCTAACCGCATATAAATCGTTGGTGAGATCCGTCCTGGAATACAGCTGCACGCTATGGGACCCTTACCAGCAGAACAACATCCACTCGCTGGAAAAGGTACAACGCCGGACTGCCCGCTTTATAACATCAAACTATAGAAGGGACAGCAGTGTTACAGAAATGATGGACACTCTAAACCTAACACCACTAAAGGATCGCAGGCGAGCCAATCGGCTTGCCTTTTTTTATGAGATCGTAAAGGGGCTAGTGGTCATACCTGTAGATCACATATTGACTTCATCAAACACCCGTACCAGATCAAAAATTAGTGACAATTACCGACATTTCCAGTGTAATACGGACATTTCAAAAAATCAGTTTTCCCCCGAACAACAACAGAGTGGAATAACCTACCAGAAGACTTCGTCAAAACGCAAGAACTTAACAGCTTGAAGACATCACTACAAACTGAGACAATATAAACCAAAAGCGCACTCCTCCAACCCTGGAATATATACTCAAATTTGAGGTCTTCCAGTAATCTACAGAAACAGAAACTACTTATATTTACATTCTAAAATGTTATTTATTATTGACCTAAAAACAAATGTTCCCTTATATTTCAAACGAGGTTCATGGAACAGCCAAACGTCATCAAAAAGTTTGCTTCTAGCAGTTGTCTTGTGCTATTGAAGGCGAGAAGAGAAGCTTCGAAATGACGCTGATCCAATTGGTATGGTAATGCTAATAGAGGAACTTGCAGTGGAAATGTAAATATAACATTGTATACGTTGTAGATCTGACTTTAATTCGAAGTGTAAGAAATACAAGATACAAGCACCTATATGACCTGAACAACTGCCAGACTTCAAACTAGCCAGAAACCGTATGACACCAACAGAACATCTGTCACTTCAAACAACGAACAGAGCACCGTGGATAATATTAAAAACAGCGGACCGGAAGCCAATCAGGAAACACATCATATCTTACACCAAGTCATTAGTGGACACTATCAGAGTATTTTGGCAAAACGGGATAACTGACCAGCGCTTATACAACTTTGGAAGTATGTTTGTAAAAGACGGCGGTATAAATCTATCCATAAAATCAGTCCGGGATAATTATGAAATAAGGTCGGACCTAGTAATCTGATGCTGCTTTCAGACGAGCCTTGACATTTAGCATTGCAAGGCCTGCATAAACTTTTGTAGATCCGCTAGGATGTATAACCGCAAATGTTACTTTTAAAAACAAATAAACTGGTTGAACTGGATACGCGAAAGGGGCCCCAAGTCAGAAGTGGTCTTACAAAATCCACAATATAGTAAATGAATTTGCCACCATAACAATAAAATGATTCAACCCGTACAGGAAGGCATCCTCGATTTACAGCAGTCACGCTCACTTTCGCTCTCTACACCCCTGGGAAATGTCATAGCAAAATAGAAGGCCCCATGTGCACCACCTTGTGGACGAGACGAGAAGATGTATATCAAAATAATCTCGCGGTCATGTAACGGTAAAATTGACAGCCTATGAAGTCGGGCGTCTATCCTCTGTAATCTTCAAGGTATCAATCTAGCGATTGGTTAGGTTTTTTTTTACCCGAGACCAATCAAACAGCTATCTTCGTGCCTTCAATTTTTCGATGACATATTCCAGGGATGTAGAGAGCGAAAGTGAATGTTACCCCTGGATATCGCGAATGACAGGAAGGTAGAACCTGACAACTTTCATCCAAACATCAGACGTTATCTGCTAATATTTTATTGTAAGGCGTTCGAAGAGGTTTCATGTGGTCTGCTCGTCTACTAGTCCGAATCATTCTGACGTTTTATCGACTTTTTATATCGGTGGGTCGTCGATTAACCGACGACAGACCGATATAAAAGTCGATAAAACGTCAGAATAATTCGGACTACCCGCCTACATACTAGAACCTTACGGATTACAACGCAAAGTATTTCGGTCGAATTTGCAGAAATATGACGCCACGGATCAATAACAGACTAGACTCAAACTTTTACCAGCGGTGGCCGCCAGGGGAGTGTCCTTAGACCTGTGTTGTTCCTCGTGAACGACATGCCTAACACTTCATTATCAGATGCTACTCTTATTGAAAATAACACAATGCTTTATTTCAAAATATCAGCAGACGAAATTAAACTTCAACATAAGCACATCTAAAGTAACAGCCCAGTGAATGCAATTGCGAATAACAGACAAACAACTACTGTTGTCAAAAATTCAATAAAGAAAATGGTGTTTGTGTGTATTTTGTAATTAAGATTTTGTATGTTTCGAGTCCATGGTTTAATATTCAAGTGACTGGTCATCACCCAGAGTCATTTGTGACTGGACTATGTCCACTACAGAAGACGTGCGTTAACAAGAATATCGATCGATCGACCAACTTGTGCCCAATCCCTTTTGTATATTAGATACAAATCAAAATATGTTTAAATCAAAAGCATACACCAGTGTATATAGAGCGCAAGGGTGATATTCTGTTCGTCAAGCTTATCTTGGGTCGCCCTTTATAATTACTCAAACATAATCGAAATGATCTATTTGTTATATTAAGTTGTACTTTTAATATTTATATATACTTTCAAACAGTTTGATGATATACAGTAGGCAGATCCAGAGGAGAGTTTGCTGGCATTTTTTGGAAAACTGTTACAAACCAAAAAAAACTTATAAAAGACATGGCAGTCAGCGGTAAGTTACCAACGTCTACCACTATACTGCTACCACTGGTCAATTCAAGACATGTCCCAGTAAGGTGTGCAGACTCTGTCCGCACACCAACACCACCAACACATTCAGATGTGAAATCAACAGACAGAGGTACCGCATACTTCAGTCACTGTCATGTAAGACAGCCAATGGGATTTACTTGATCACTTGTGCTACATGCCAGATGTAGTACGTCGGGGAGACCCAAACTCCATTTAATCTCAGAATCAACAACCACCGCAGTTCCATCAAGCAGAAACGCCAGGACCTGCCGGTAGCCAGACATTTCAACACTTAGCAGGCCATGCAGGTTGTTCCCGTCGACCATTGCCAAAGTTTGAATGACCAACAGCGCCTCGACTTGAGGGAACGACACTGGATCAACCAGCTACAGACCAGCTACCCTCTTTGCATGAACGAAAAATGATCTGCCACATGTATACAAAACAGTTTCAGGCTAACTCTGATGCATTGTTATATATAGCAAAATTTGCAGTATGTTACAATTATAGGCTACCGAAGGTCCCACTCACTCACTTTAAGGGACGTTATTTATCTTATCATATTTATTCTTTTCAGTTTATTTGTCAACATCTAATTAATTATTTGAAAGATCGTTGGCTCACTGTCTGTGTCATATACTTGACCCCTTGAGGCGTGTCATGTGGGAGCCCCTGCAGCAATTACAGTATCGTTGGCTCAGAGCCTGCACCCTAAACTTGACCGGGACTGCTTTTATCATCCTTTTTCATATTTCTTGTTAAACTGTTAACAAGTACAACCCTGCAATAAATCTTTATTTAATTATAAGTTAGCAATCTTCTGATTTTCTGTCATATTTCTTTTAATTCAGTTTTAGGGCGAGTGTTTGTATGACCGAAATTGTTAGTGGTCCTTTTGGGGCGAGTTTCTGTGGACGAAATTGTCTTTGACAAGTTGATTTTGTACACGACATTTTCGGCACAAATTGTTTGTGAGTTTATCTGGCTTTTTAATCTAAATAAGATGTTTATTCGTATTTATAACCCGGGAACCAATATTTTGTATCCATTTTTTTATCATATTACCCCAGGTATTCCATCTTTGACTTCATTTTTATACCTGGTCGAGTTGGCCTGACCCCGTCCGCTATTACACCGCGTCACTGAAAGTTTTTTAGCGCCGTGTTTACACACTTTAACTCACGTATTTAAGATTAATTATTTACTATAATTAGCCTTCGGTTACTAGCTAACCGAGGGGATATGCAATTACAACAGCATATTTTATATTAGTAGCTTCTGTTTGTTTATGTATTTTGTATTGTATTATTGTCACATGGTGATCGACTGCTTTTCTCTGTTTTATGTTGTGAAATGTAAATTTTCGTTTTCCTTTCTTGATAAAGGGGCAGATCGCCCTGAAAATTTGACACATTTCTTTGTCTGCACTGTCGTTGTTACTTAATCCTTTGCCCAAAGATTTCCTATATATATATATAAACAAGAGATTAATATAATTATTTAAAATAATAAGAGAAACAATTCTGACACACATAACAAGTAAAATGTGCAAGAAATAATTGTCCCTCTCAGGCTGCGGAGGTACAACAAGAGACATATACATTAAAATTTAACCACAATAATTATTATGTAACACCACGGGATTATCTTAGTCCGTCGTAACACATTTCGACCATTGGCATTGTGTAAAAAACAGAACTATAAGAAGAATATTTCCTATAAAATGATATATTGTCATACTTGAAAAAAAATCACGACCACACGTCATGCAATCCGGATTCATATATTTTTCTCCGTGCAAGTATTTACCACACTCTTTCTCAAACATTATTCTCACTTTGATTCGAGTTATAACGACGCTTTTAACCTGTATCAACGTGGAAAATTTGGTCAAACTGAAGTTTCACTTTGTATGATGTTTTAACAGAAAGAGGCTGCATTCATTCATTAACACAATCCAAAAAATGTCTTCGTCTCCAAAGAAACGCAATGTGGAAAGCAAAATTCCGAATGGATCGACTGGAAATGGCAGTGTGATGGCTACTTTTTCGAAGGCGTTTGTTGCTGAAGCCGCTTGGGACGACAAGGTTGTCAAGATTAATATGCCCCACTTTTGCATTGCATTTTGCGGTGTCTTTATTGTTTTGTTGATATTTCGGTTATAAGAGTAGGGAAATGAAGAAAAGTCAATCTGAGACTGGATATGCCAGCTTGGGCGTTTGTAGATGACAGATTCCATGCATGAGCGTGCTAGTTGAATACAGCACCAACTGGGAATACCAGTTACATATTCAACATTAAGTGCTTATGCTTTATGTTGAACTTCATGTTGAATTTGTTATTTCCAGCTGGCATTCACATTGATCATGAATGTCAACTGAATGCAGTTCGTTGCTTAAATAATATATCTGTATCATAGCATGGACTTAGATAACAAAACTAATCTAATTCCATGATAATAGGAAAGAGAAAAGTATAAGTTCCCTTATAGCTCAGTTGAGCATTCGACTAGGAACCAATGGATTGAGGGTTCGATTCCTGATAGAAGCACTCCTGTTACAAATGGTGTCCTTGGCCCTCCCTGCGGTAACAGTTATAACTTATAACCTGGGTTGGGGTGGGTTCAACACATTAAAAAAAGGGAGGGGGGAGTGCGTCACCTACTAGCTTTGAGTTTAGGGAATTTCCCTTTAGCTCAGTGGTAGAGCATCTGACTAGGAACCAAGGGATTGCGAGTTCAATCACTGGTGGAAGCACACTATTGTCTTTCCTGTAACATATGTACCAGCTTAATATGTACCTACTACCATAATTCTGAGCTATTGGGCTGAAAATGATTGTGGTTATTCATTAAACTTTGTACTGTAATATATTGTTTGTAAATTATATGATAATTTTCAATAAAATTCATCAGTTTGGAACTATGTATTGTTATAACAGAATTTTACCGTATACACAAACAATGTAGATATTAGTGGGACAATTTAATGCAGTATTTTTTTTTATAACCTTGTCACAAAATTTGGCAGCTGTCGTTGATCTCATGAATTTCTAGCCAGCAAAAATATCTTTCCAGCCGGGGAGAGAAAGTAACTTCTCGCTTTATTCACCTAGCCTGTCTGGAATACAAGTACATGCGCTTGCATTCATTCTGAATCAAAATCAACCTTCTACAGCATCACAAACATCATTATAAATGAGTGATCTATTTTAGGTTTAAACCTATTAATATCGTACTTTCTGCAGTTTGGAATTCTCCCATCGGAACCCTCTCGGTGCATGCATGCTCTTATTAAACTTGTTCATCATTTTTATTCATATCCAAATGTAAACAGAAATATCTGATTAGAGGTATATATTATGATACTTATAATTCTTGCTTGCGATGTAAAGTGTAAATTCAAGAATGTGTTATGTGTGAAATCAGACTCATAACTGACACTGTGATGTCGGTCAACAGCGTAGTGCTGTACATGACTGTTAACTTCTCACTGAAAGGCCCAGATATTGCGCTATTTTTGTTGTAGCTATATTTTAATCAACGGCTTTCCCAAAAGATGAATTTGACCACACTGGATGTTGGCTTCAGGTCATGTCAGTATCAACTACGTAAATTTTCGTTAGGAGATATACGTTTTCAGTATTGACTCTATTTTCAGGTTGTCATTTGACTAAATAGCCCCTTTAAACTTGTCACAACGTTTCAAGACCGACTGGTCCCTTTGTGAAGCTATGACTATCATATTGTATAATGATTATTTTGTCTTTGTTTTAGGATGAGTTCCTGGATGTTATCTATTGGATGAGACAGATTATTGGAATGGTTTTAGGTCTTATATGGGGCCTGTTTCCACTCAAAGGAATAATAGCTTTAGTTATGTAAGTCTATTGTACAAAGGAGCCCCCAAATGTTCAGGAGACATGCTTAGGCTACATATACGTTAGTACTAATACAAATACCCGGCCTCCTCTACACAATGCAATATATAAAAAAAAAATCTCGTCAGAAAGCTACATTATCGCAGCTACATATACATGCATGTCACCCTGATAAAATACTAGACGCAAGCTCCTACTGATTCGACTAGAGGGAATTTCTTAAGCTCATTTAGTGGAATGTAAGACCAGCAAACCAGAGGTCCTTGGGTTCCACTCCTAGCAGAGGATTTGAAAAAAAACAATGACCTCTGTTATATTGGTGCCCACATAGGGACCCGGGAAATATTGACAAATATATATCTACTTTAAAAAGAAGGGATATGACCCCTGGAAAACTTGGCGGATGCTCTTTCCTGTCCCCCTAGTAAAACAAAAGTCGCTTCCTACCAACTCGGCTAGGGAAAGTTTCTTTTTAGCTCCTTTGGTATAGAGCATAAGACTAGTAAATCAGAGGTACAGGATTGGACTCCTAGCAGAGGCTTTGAAAAAAATAATTACCTCTGTTAATGGTACATCTTACTATGTACATTTTAAAAGTTATCAAAATATTCCTGGTTATAGTGGTAGACAATGTGAACAATAAATTTGGTCAGTATATACAAAAATGTTGTTTACCATTTTTAATTTTAATAATTATTAAATTCTATTGACATTACACCAGCTATTTGTACAGGTACCAATACTTAGTGAAAGTGATGCATATAGCTTACCATGTGTCTGTTTATGTTACGAATGAATTCTGCTTATTTTTTTCTCTTTTCATTATTAAATTAATGATCCAATTTTTTCTCTCTTTTTTTTATGTAATTAAATTAATGATACATGTACATGTACTATCTGTATCTAATGAACCAGAAAACAAAGTTAGTAAATAAACATTCATGCTGTATTGCTTGTCTAATGGGAACGCTATATGTATTTGCTTGCATTTAAAAATCAAGGTTCATTTTATTGCAATTATCCTGAAAATAACTGTTGCAAAAAAACCCACCAAAAACACAAACTTCAAACCTGCATATTATAGTCTGAGCTAAACATATTTTCTCTATTTGCAGATTTTTTGCTATAAATTGTGGAGTAATTTATATATACTACGGAATTTTCCAAAAAGTTGATGATGAGGAATATGGAGGACCCACCGAGATACTAAAGGAAGGCCTGATGACTTCATTTTCCACATTTGTAGTAAGTTGTGTCTCTTCATATTATAATATATACCTAATTTGTTGTCATCACTCTCAAAATTAATGTTTTCAGAATATTTTTATTTGAACAAATACTATAATAAATTTCAACGTCTTTCCTAAACTAAAGGTTGTGCATCATTGAAATATGTTGTAAAATTAAGTCCTACATGAAAGCCCCCCCCCCCCCCCCCCCAAAAAAAAATGTCTGTTTCAGGCACCCTTAAGCTACCCATCCTAGTTTTTACCTCTGACACTAACAATTTAATGCTCTTAAACATCTCTTTTGAACGCATCGAAATTCGTAAGCGTCTTTATGACACCTCTCTATTTCACAGGCAGGTATCGAAACCAAATTTAAATGCAATATTATTATTTAAAACACCTGAAAAAAGTATGAAAAATGAATACAATAGGTCTGAATGACAATGTTTGGTGATTTTTGTTATTTCTTGAATTAGCAACCAATACTCGCACCCCAACCCCTCAAAATAAAAAAAAAAGACAAAAAAAAAACTCACATGGCATACCTTATTTTTTCAGTTATGTAAATATAACCTGAAACCTACCAATATTGTATTTGGCCTGACATGAATCCTTTCAGTATACATATATATCCTTCTTAATTACAGGTGACATGGATTATATTGTATTCGTCGCTATACTCAGACTTATAGCTGAGAACGGTGCGCACGACTTAGGACTCTGGCAGTCGTAGGACGGGACACCCGAAATAAATCCATGGATTATATTGTATCATTATACTCGGACTTTAAGGTGATGACTGTGTGGACTTTAGACTCGGGCAGCCGAGGGATGGGACTTATCAACATCTCAAAGAAAGCGTCCATTTGAGGCTGATGTTGGCTCTTTTGGCATGGCCATATGTATTGTTGGAGAAAAATCTTCTTTTTTTTTGTGATGAAGAAGTGGGAAGAGGGGGGGGGGGCTATGGAACCATGAGATACTTTTACAGATTCCAGTTCACATTGCAGAAATTATGAAAGTGAATTATTACACATAAATATTGTAATTTTCATCATATTTTGAAGTCCTCTACCTGTTATTGATTTTTACCTCTTAGAAAATATCACATTGTGTGATATTAAAACATTGTGTCATAGCTGTCAAAATTTTGATTTTATTTGTTCCATTTTGTGTGTCCTTAATTGTGTGAAAGTGTCTCAAGCCTCATATTTAATCAGCAAATTGACCTCTATCTGTGCTGCTAGCATGTTGTTCAGATGTCACAGTTTCCCAGAAGAATTTCCCAGCATACAGTATTCTATTAAATACAGATTGTAATAAGCTAAAGATGATTTTTATCTGTTTTACAAAATATACACACAGATGAAACTTGGCATCATCATTCATGTTATGGCAATAACAAAATATTTGAAAACATGGCATGGTCTGTTTGTATTAAGGTTTTCAAATTTACCATGATGGGGAATATTGATATACAGCATACAATTTTAAGTGATAACTTTTGAAGGGCGAAAATGAACACTGGGAGAATATGGAATTTATCGAAAATGTGCATAAGTTGACTGGGAGAAAGTATACAATTTTAGGACTAGGGCTGCAACGATACATGAACATGACGATACATTAGTATTATGCGTATGACGATACTGTGGTCAAGATACAATATGTTTGACGATATACATAGTAACAGTAAGTAGATGCAAAGAGACAAGATATTTTACAAAATTACAACTTTCAACATGCATGCCGAGCTGGAGCTGTCACTCGCCATGTCTGAATGGATATGAGTTGACTAAATTCAGAAATAACAAAATCTGGAAAATATAGTAGTAGTTGTATTGTGACCTCCAAAAAAAATGTGAATCGTACCGTATACAACATATAACAATATACACTGTATCCTCGCACGATATATTGTTGCAGCCCTAATAAGGACATCGTACATTCTCTGTTGTGATTAATGTGATATCTTATAATTACTCAACAATAAATGTATTCCATGTATTTATCACCTTTCATTTGTTGCATAATGAGAACCCTTCATTTTTTTTTCTTGACGCAGAAACTGTATCGCAAGATTTGAAATTGTCTTTAAAATGCTTTATAGTGACCAAATCAGGATCATTTACAAAAAAAATCTACACAAGTCATGTTTTGTTTATCAGGACAATTTCTGCCGTAATTAACCCTTTCACCACTGTAGACCTTAATGGACTCGTCCAGATCAATGCATGGTAGAGTTTACAGAAGTTACATAGGGGTGAAAGGGTTGAAGCATTCTGATAAATAATGTACGGCTGCATACGTTATATCATAATTTACATGTTATTGTGTAGGTTTTTACGTGCTGTATATATCAATAAAGAAGACTGCAAGTTTTATATAAATAAACAGTACCAACACAACTGTTGGCAGAATGGGCACTTGCAATGATATATATATATATATATATATATATACCAATTAAAATTATACAGTAAACCTCGTTATACTGCCACCGTTTGTCCAGATAAAGTTTGGTGTTGTAAGGAGGTTTGGCGATAAATTGAAGGAAAAGTTTAAAGGAATTCTTAGGGAAACAAAAAGAAGCATTGAAATATGCTGCAAGTAAACAAGGTGGCCAATGAAAACTTCGGCATTATATCAAGGTTTTACTGTACTGATCCAAGACTCTGAAATAAACGCAAAGGTTTTGATTGTGTAGATGATGTCCTGGTATGAAAGGTAAAGAAATTTAAGAGAACATTTTGCCTTTTCTTTTCTAAAATTTATTCCGCTGACTAGATTTTTTTACCATTTATAATATTACTAAATTTTGTTAAGATTAGTCAATACTGTAAGTTTGTTTGCTAGAAGTGGATAGTGAACTTGCCCTTCACCGAGATTGTTCGGGTGGTTTTTTTCCCCCTGATTGGACATGGAAAAAGTATGTGTATCAATTTTCTCTAGGTACACCAAGTGAGACAGCCTATATATAGCATCAGAAAGAGAAAAAACCTAGTTTGTGGAATATGCAGACAAGTGTGCTTTTTATTAATTATTTGATCAGACTCTGTTTTGTCTGGAATATTTCCATAAAGGATCTAGCCATAAACATTCAATATTACTTCAACCCTCTCTGTCACCAAGCTGTGATATGGCTGCAGGGACCGTAGCTTCTAGGTCTGGTCGATTTAATTTAATTTTGAATTTTTTCATATTCTGAAATTTTTAAGAAGAAAAAAATAAAATGAAAATAAAATGATCAGACGTAGAAGCTATGGTTCCCACAGCAAGCTTTGATACAGCTGTGACGATTCCTGGTTTGGCTAAGTACAGGTCTGAATGTCCAAGGGCTCTGACTATATAATTTAATAATTATATAGATATATCATAATTTACAGATAATAACCTTGTTGCGTTATTTACAAAATAAAATAAGTAATGTCTAATGATGTTATTCACTTTAACCCTTACACCCCCTATGCGACATAAGTAGACTCTACCATGCATCGATCTGGATGAGTCAACTATGTTCTACAGTGGTGAAAGGGTCTCATTTTAAGGCATGATTGTTTTTCAATCTGTTGAAAATTTGGATGGGCTTAACACTTGAGCAGTGGGCTTATTACTGGTAAACTATGATACATGTTTATATATATATATATGAGTTTAGCTTTAAGGTTTTATAGCTACATTTGTACCACTGCCGAAATTTCTATGTTTGTAGTTTGTAAGAGTCGCTGTCTATTCAGATTGAAACTTAACTGTACTACGTACCATATTTGATCTAAAAACACCCTGGCTGCACGCAAAGAAATTTGAGAAAATTCATCCTCAAAATTCCATGGGTTTCACTCACTTTTGTTCTCAGCACCCTTGGAATCAGTCATGACAAAATTGAAGGCACGAAAGCTAGGCTAATACAGATCTGTCCTTTGAAGATTACAAAGGAGCTACATCCTGCTATAGAGCCAGAGAATTTTACCGCTATGCTGCCTCGGGATTCTTTTCTGGGGGTGCATAGAATGTAAGAAAGTGTAACATTTAGAATTTCATGGATGGGGAAAAATACAATGATTGCAGAACATCAGCAGTAATTGAAAATGGTAAATATTGTAAAGGAATGTGGTGCTCAGACAATAAAAAAATGTTAAGTGGGTGCTTATGAGGTCAATTATGGTACACTATCATCTACAGTGTAACAGTGTTGATGTGTTCATACATCTGTTAGTAACAGTTTATTTATGGTCAGGACAATATTGATCAGGTCGTGATGGATGTTTAATAAATGTATATAATAAAAGCTTGTCGAGTCTGTATTTGTTATTTTCTGTAATTACGGTATGTGCATAGACAGTTAAAAACACCTGTTACATCCTGTTTTGGTTCTTGCATAGGACATAATCTTACATTACGAAACTGAACAATAATCAGTCAAAACATCAGAGAAGATAAATTGTCTTTGAGGAAAAAGCCAGATCAGATCATTTCTTTGGGATGTGACATTAGAACAACGAGGGGGGATGGGGTCATAACAATGGAACTACAGGAAGAAACATTGGGACCACAAGGGATCATGACACCATGATCAGAGAGCCATTTGACACCATGGTCTAAACTGTTACAATGACACCATGGTATAAACTATAACAATGACACCATGGTCTAAACCATAACAATGACACCATAGTCTAAACAATAACATTGACACCATGGTCTAAACCATAACAATGACACCATGGTGTAAACCATAACATTGACACGATGATGTAAACCATGACAATGACACCATGATGTAAACCATAAGAATGACACCATGATGTAAACCATAACAATGACACAATGATGTAAACCATAACAATGACACCATGATGTTAACCATAACAATGACACCATGATGTAAACCATATCAATGACACCATGATGTAAACCATGACAATGACAACATGATGTAAACCATGACAATGATACCATGATGTAAACCGTAACAATGACACCACAGTCTAAACCATAATAATGACACCATGATGTAAACCATAACAATGACACCACAGTCTTATCCATAACAATGACACCATGATGTAAACTGTATCAATGACACCATGATGTTAACCATAACAATGACACCATGGTGTAAACCATAGCATTGACACGATGATGTAAACCATGACAATGACACCATGATGTAAAACATAACAATGACACCATGATGTAAACCATAACAATGATACTGACACCATGATGTAAACCATGACAATGACACCATAATGTAAACCATAACAATGACACCATGATGTAAAACATAACAATGACACCATGATGTAAACCATAACAATGATACTGACACCATGATGTAAACCATGACAATGACACCACGATGTAAACCATAACAATGACACCATGATGTAAAACATAACAATGACACCATGATGTAAACCATAACAATGATACTGACACCATGATGTAAACCATGACAATGACACCATAATGTAAACCATAACAATGACACCATGATGTAAAACATAACAATGACACCATGATGTAAACCATAACATTGACACGATGATGTAACCTATAACAATGACACCATGATGTAAACCATAACAATGACGCCATGATGTAAACCATAACAATGACACCATGATGCAAACCATAACAATGACACCATGATGTAAACCATGACAATGACACCACGATGTAAACCATAACAATGACACCATGATGTAAACAGTATCACTGACACCATGATGTAAACCATGACAATGACACCATAATGTAAACCATAACAATGACACCATGATGTAAACCATGACAATGATACCATGATGTAAACCATGACAATGATACCATGATGTAAACCGTAACAATGACACCACAGTCTAAACCATAACAATGACACCATGATGTAAACCATAACAATGACACCACAGTCTTATCCATAACAATGACACCATGATGTAAACTGTATCAATGACACCATGATGTTAACCATAACAATGACACCATGATGTAAACCATAACATTGGCACGATGATGTAAACCATGACAATGACACCATGATGTAAACCATAACAATGACACCATGATGTAAACCATAACAATGACACCATGATGTAAACCGTATCAATGACACCATGATGTAAACCATAAAAATGACACCATGGCCTAAACCATAACAATGACACCATGGTGTAAACCATAACAATGACACCACAGTCTTAACCATGACAATGACACCATGATGTAAATCATAACAATGGCACCATGATGTAAACCATAACAAAGACACCATGATGTAAACCATAACAAAGACACCATGATGTAAACCATAACTAAACAATAACATTGACACCATGGTCTAAACCATAACAATGACACCATGATCTAAACCATAACAATGACACCATGGTGTAAACCATAACAATGACACCACAGTCTAAACCATAACAATGACACCATGGTGTAAACCATAACAATGACACCACAGTCTTAACCATAACAATGACACCATGATGTAAATCATAACAATGACACCATGATGTAAACCATAACAATGACACCATGATGTTAACCATAACAATGACACCATGATGTAAACCATAACAATGACACCATGATGTAAACCATAACAATGACACCATGATGTAAACCATAACAATGACACCATGATGTAAACCATAACAATGACACCATGATGTAAACCATAACAATGACACCATGATGTAAACCATAACAATGACACCATGATGTAAACCATAACAATGACACCATGATGTAAACCATAACAATGACACCATGATGTAAACCATAACAATGACACCATGATGTAAACCATAACAATGACACCATGATGTAAACCATAACAATGACACCATGATGTAAACCATAACAATGACACCATGATGTAAACCATAACAATGACACCATGATGTAAACCATAACAA